CAAACGAAACTTCTGGATTCGCTCAATCCTTTTGAAGCGCTAAAATCAGCCGATGATCCTCAGCATACTCCTCAGCTCCTATTAGTCGAATCCCTCGACAGTCGGATTCAGGGGGAACAGTAATTAATCCATTCAGGAAATTATATTGGGGACGGGTTCCCCCGCCGCAACAGAATGACCCCCAAACGATCCTCCGCTCGAGAATTCGACGGGAAAACGCGCACATGGATTCTGAGGATGGTGAAACTAACTAGAAATCTTCCCGATGCCGGATTGTGTCTGCTGCTCCAAAGGGTAGCTTACATTCAGATTTAGGTTTCCAACGCTCGACAACCCCCGTATTCTTCAAGGCTAAATCATAGTGCATCGAATTCTATCGATTTCCGAAACCAGGGAGGTTCTTAACTTTCCCCTTCCAAGAAGTTCTCGGGCGAGCGTCAGCGCATGCTCCCTTTTCCGGATACCTCCGGACGACTGAGGATTTTATCCTGGGATGGGCTGTCGAAAAAAACGAATAACCGCTCCGTGTTGGCGGAGCGGAAACTGCGCAGAAGCTATGGCGCCTCGATTCGCGTGTTGGCAGCCAGAATAGTTTTGGACAAAAGAACCAGCAAACGTCCATGGTGGCAGGTCGTCAGTGTGTTGTATTCGCAATTGAGGATAACTTGCCTCTAATAGAGGCTAGGGATGATTTATGGTGGAAGAGTTTCGGGGAGAGAGTTCGTGACTTCTGGACGGGAGTCCCAGCTCGCGCTCGATGCCATACCTGCCAAAAAGCTATTCAGAGACCCTATGTGTCCGGGACAAGAAACAGTTTTAGTCGAAAAATGTCGAGCGAATTTCCGGGGAGAAATGTGGACGATGTTATTCGATCGATTCGACTTGGGCTGTCAGGCTGTCTCAATGACCGGCGGTTAGTTTACAGATGAAGACCCTCCTTCTCTTCGAGGGGCCCTCCGAGCCGCCCACAACGTTTCTTATAGCGGTCGGGACTTCTCACGATTCTCGCGAGATGAAAAACCATCTTAGCTTACTCCTTGACTGGTCGATCGAGCCGAGAAAAGTTTCCGGCAGGACCCCAAGAGATCATAGCGTCAAACTCTCGCAGTCTTGGCCCCTACCCCTGGCGTCCAGCGATCCGTGATTGAAATGATCACCGATATCTATCGCCCGTATTGATGACGATCGTCTTTTCATTTGAATTCGCGGACCGATAAGGTTCGCGATTGGAGGCGTTCGAAAAGCGGCAACGTGTGACATCGATCACGAATCTGTAAACTCCAATTAGGTACTGATTTTGGAGAGACGATCGACGTGTTGCACGTCGCGTCGTTAGCGCCGAAGAGCCCTTTCGCTTATCGGATGTCCAAGCCAAGCGTAACTATCCGCTGTCCGGTCTTCTATTTTGGTCTTATTGTATCTGAGCACCAGCTGGCTCAAACTAGTCAAGACGGCAGAGAGCGCGAGATCACTCTCGAATTTGATATAAACAAACCTACTGTCGATGACATGACTGACGATCCCATCTTCCTATCCGGAGTCTCAAGGAATTCCGGGGTGGACTTGTTGATCATGGCAAAGTGCTGCCTAATCAGGGAGACGTTTGTTTACATCGTCTCTAGATAGTGCTTCGGTGTCTCACGGCTTGAGACTGTCAGAATTCGTGGCCCTTAAACCATCCTCTCTCTATTCACGTTCCCGGAAGTTTTTCTGTTTCCTGATTATTTCTTTCCTGACTCCGTCGGGATAGTCAGTCCTTAGATCGAGCAAACGAGTCGACGATGGGCGAGGTATCTGTGTCGAAGACTTGTTCGAGCGCGTGCTCATAGCCAACTGCGCGAAAAGTCATCCTGCTGGCTTGCCAGATCGACAAACGACGACGCGATCGGAGTTCGCGTGATTCTGAATGATGGTCCGAATGAAGCTCGGAAATCATTGAAGGATCCGAGGCCTGAAATGGTACCCCATTATTCGGGTGATTTTTTTCAATGCGTATCCTTGGTCCTCCATAGAAAACGTTTCTCTATCCTGCCTTGATCTTCGACCGAGTTCCGCTTGCGCCGTTCTCGACTCTTTTTCGGGAAATCTGTCCGAACCCTCGACTTCTTCTGCCTGAGTGAAGTTCCCCGCTTTAAACCATCACTCGGCGATCAGACGAGGCGACGCATCCGAGGTCATTTTCTTATGCGAGAAACTTGGACCGCTGTTGCCAGATAAGGGATCTATGTCTGAAACTCGATGACTCAACTCGAAAGCAGGAGTTGCGGTTGCCATTTCCCAGGAATATGTCGCTTGTCCGAGAGATACATATCAGAGCTACTCCAGAAGGAGATTTTGATCTTCAGACTTCAGTTGAAGGAGAGAAATTCTGAGACAGAAATTTTCTTCATTTCAGATTCTTGGGTTGAACTCTACTATGCGGCGTCGCATCCCTCAACCCCCCCGATCATTCCACCTTATCAGATCGAGCAGCTATTGCTAGAAGCTCAAAGAGAATCGAATCAAAGTTCGCTGAAAAATTCCGGATATTGCTCACCGCGTACACCGAAAAGCCTCGCAAGCAATCTGTCCATGCATGACGATGTGAGTACGACTAAATCCGATCTGCAGAGTACTGACCCTTCGCTTGATTGACCCGAGTTCGACGATGGATTGGATATCTAGCAAGTTTCTTCCTCCTTATAGGCTCTGCCGCACAAAGACGCCGACCCGAACGATTGGCTCTGGGACTGGAGTGGGAGACCCGACTCCGTATCAGCCCGTGACCTGAAATACGGTGCCATCGGAAAAACAAACCTGTCCTTGAGACACTCTCGCATGATACGCAAAGGAGTTCTCTCGGAAATGGTTCCCCTTTTCGTGATGTCGAACATCATTTCCATCATAATCGGGGCCGGAATCGGGCTATTCTTCGGGAAGCGGTGGAGCAACCGTGGCATGTCATTCATAGGTCTCGATTGAGAACACACAAGCGCGCCGGGCATCGGAAGCCCTCCCGATCGTTCACGGGAGTGTGGAACCTTGCCCCGCACCAAAGACGTCGTGATGATGAACATAGAATAGGGGATCTTCTCTGGATAGGTCAACTGGATAGTCTTTCTACATTTCTCGTTTCATCTGATTCCCTCGATGATGAAATGAGCCTCACTCCCCATGGAGTTCCGATAATTCTGGCATTCGAGCAAGAGCCGAGTTTCGACACCAGCGAGTTTCCCAAGCAGATGGAAGCTCTGATTGTGCAACTTTGTTACTGTCCAGTCGGTGTCCAACATGTATTTAATTTCGTCTGCCGAGCGCAGATATCACCGCTGTGTGGTTCAGTTCCGAGTTTAGAGATTCAGAAGTCCGTCTCGGATGCCCAAGGATCCCCTGGATTATACAGCGTCATTTTCAGCCGTGGAGTCTCTCAGAGTTATGATGAGAAGTTCAACCGGAGCTTCGTATCCATTCTATTCTCGCATATCTACACCTACACCCCGAAAGTAACTCGTCTCGATGAAGAGATTGACGGGAAACGTTCCAGAAGAGACCGTTGCGAGCAAGCTTCTGTCGCTCATGAACAACGGCAGATTTTTCCCGATATTGAAATCCGCGAACATCGTGCGAGGTTCGCATGGTGTACATACTCTTCTTCGTCTGGTAATGGTAATTGATCTAGAAAAGACATTAGTGAAATTCGTGGTTTTGAAGCGACAACTCGCTGATCAGTCGAGTTGAATCGAATGGTATCGCTCGATGGGGCGATACCATGGGTTGACTTGCAGTGCCATCACCGAAACTGGGAGACAACTCCAGGAGCTACATCGGAACGAAATCGCTCCGATGAAAAAATTCACAGTGCGAAATCGATCAAAATGGAAGGAAAATCGAGTCTATCAATTTTTCGGCTTCAGCTCGACGTGCGGCACGCGCATATCAAGTACTCGAGATGTACATTAATCTGTGGGATAGACGAGCGAGAAAAGCTCAGCATTCGTGCATAAACAAGGAATCTGGGTCTCAATGACCCGGATTGCGGAGCGAAAAGAGAAAAAAATCGAAGATTTTGTGCACGAGAACAGCATTCATTCGAATGATCGCTTGCTTCCTCTCATCGTATAAATACTGGATATCCATATTCTACATCTACTACTGTGCGACTATAAGTGCAACGTTTAATACCCAATAAAAACAATTTGTACTATTTCACGGAATATTTCACTCATTATTCCTCTCCCCTATGTACAATGTCACACATCAGCGACGCATGCGATGATTATTCGTGTGTTCGGAGATTCGAGTGGTCTACCGCCTCGGCTCCGTGAACTGCTATCGAACGTTACGGGATTCAGTCGCGACTGACTCCGAAAAGTTTCACGAGACCCGCATCTCGTTCACGGTCTTCCCCAGTTCCGTATTTGTCATCGCAGGCGAAAGCCAGTAAGTACCTCTTCGGATGCCAGGCTACTGAGAAGGTGGATGCCTTGACCGGAATTTGGTAGATGAGATCACCTGAAAAAATATTCTCCCTCAGAAGTTGCAATGCTTCTATCAACGCGAGTATCTATCAAGCTCTCTTGCGGATCTGAGCCCGCAGCTTCCGCGTCCACAGAAAAAAAATGGAGAATAGCCACCCACCTGTCTCAACGTGAGCGATATCCACAATGAGATCCTCAGAGGCAGATGCTATTAGCTTGCCGTCGTGACTGAAGCTCAAGGTTCTGACGGGCCAGTCAAGCCTGAGAAATCGGAAGACGCATGGATTAGGCGAGGTTCAAAAAACGCTGCCGACTCACCACCATGAGCTCTCAAGGGGGTACGTTGCGCGAGGAGTTTCCCTAAGAGCTCATTTTCCGAAAATACACACGGCGGCGGGGAGCTTTTCCGAACGGTTCGTAGATCGCTCGGAATCCTAGCAGACCATACCTGTTGAAAGTCCGCAGACAGATGAGTTCATTGACGTCCCACAATGAGACGAGCGCGTCGGAGCTCCCAGTCGCGAAATATTTCCCCGTGGGATCGAATTGAACGCATATGCAATTCGAAGGGTGAGCTTGCAATACTTGGACCAACGCCATATCTGGGTAACTGGAAAGCGCGGTGATTTCAGAAAGCGACCCAGAACTTTTCCCAGTCGAGCGAGGCCATGCCCCAATCGACCGCAAGCAACCAAATATTCCATGAAATCATCGGACGACACCTTGCTGCGACCGGGAATTCCCGCGCCTTACCTGTATATGTGTATGCAACCGAGGCCACTCGTGAGGAAAAAGAATTGCCCTGTTTTATCCCACGACATTTCGTTCACCTCGAACTTGAATTGTTGTTCCTTGCGGATCTTGAAGGATGCTACATCGATGAAGCTCACAAGATCTTCTTTGTTCCCAATGGCAATCGTCTGCCCGTCTGGTGACCAGCATATATTTATGTTCTCCCCCTTAGTTGCAACGCTGTGAGTGGCTTTCGGTTGACGGGCGTCCCACATTTTGACGGTTTTGTCCACCGACGCTGTGGCTAGAACCTCAACTTGTTTTGGATGCCAACACAGCTGATCCACAGAGTCCGAATGACCGCGAAGGGTTGTGTCTTTACTCTGCAGGACGAGAGATCGAGTAAATCATTCGATTCCACTGCCGGGCATGGGTCTTCCCCTCGCTGAATATCCTCCATGTTCACTTACGAGGCGGTCTTTGTCGAGGGTGAAGATTGTCACCGTCTTATCGAGGCTGCCTGACGCCAGTTTTCGACCGTCCTGATTCCATGATACACAGTGTACCTTCAGACTATGAACGCCGAACTCTTTGACGCGATCGTTCTGAGCGAAATACTTCCGCAAAGATATCACGTCCGGAGTGGAAGCCCCGAAAGTCATCTTCGATCTTCGCCGTTATCTTATCTGCGGATGAACAAATCTGAGTTACTGAGTGAGTCCGGGTCCGGTACGAGAACCTGGACTAGCAGACATTCATGCCGAAAGGAGTGAATCTCTGGAGCTATTTAGATTTTCGAGCCCACCGGGGAGCTTTATTCCGATCCAACCCCTGGTCTTGACACAAACTCCCTACCTCAGCATGAAATTTCGACAGGATGATAACGAGCCAGCAGCGAAAAAATTTTGTTCGAAAATCGCTGAAACAGCCAACCGGTAAAGCATGCGAGAGAGAGAAGGGGTAAACAAAAACAAATGGAATCGCCCAGACACCCGCTGGAACATACGCTGTGTCCTGCCATTGACTTTGACAGATAAAGACGTGAAGTCCACCCGTTCCACAATCAGTTCTCCGAACTGTATCAGTCTGGCCTCCGGATGACTCTATACGAAAAGTGATCTGCGGCGACCAGTCAATGTTTTGAGGCCTCAAAATAGTTCGTGGCGAGAATACTCGCTTCATTGATCCGCGACTGAAGCTCCAGCACGGGTTGATACCTCCGAACATGTAAGATTAGGCTGACCTTATGGGGAGGCAGAGCTCTCCGGATCAAACCTTTGACCGGGTTCAGAAGACTTATGTGATCCGACTGCGATCCCGGAACTTTCGATGACACTTATGCGTCCAGCACCCATCGGTAGCGATTTCGACTGACCGGGATGGCTCTCATTCCAGAGGCAAGATGATAAAAGCAATTCTGGTCTTCAATAATCACGGCAAGCCGAGGCTCAGCAAATTCTACTGTCGCTACAGCGAAGACGAACAGCAACAAATCGTCCGTGAGACTTTCCAGCTCGTTTCGAAACGTGAGGACAATGTGTGCAATTTCCTCGAGGGGGGAACCCTCATCGGAGGCAGCGATTACAAATTGATTTACCGTCACTATGCAACTCTGTTCTTCGTGTTCTGCGTCGATTCCTCCGAGAGTGAACTTGGGATTCTTGATCTCATTCAGGTGAGTGGCTTGCTCCTAAGAGCTGAGAATCCGGTAGAGTGAAATAAAAATTCCCAGGCTGCTCGATGGAAAACCACTATCAGGAGCCTTGAAGTTCTTCTCCCCATCCCTCAAGGTATTCGTGGAGACGCTCGACAAGTGTTTTGAAAATGTGTGCGAGCTGGACCTGATCTTCCATGTGGATAAAGTTCACTACATTCTCAACGAGCTGGTCATGGGTGGCATGGTCCTCGAAACGAACATGGGGGAAATCATCACCAGGATCGAGGAGCAAAGCAAAATCGAACGCCAAGAAAACGGACTCAGTGTTTCCGCAGTCAAAAACATCAATATAGGACAACAGATTAAGGACATCAAACTGCCGGATCTACCCTCTATCGGTAACTTAAAATTTTGATACTCGGTGTCACTCTAATCGTGGACCTGTGATCCTCGTTTCTCATGGTACCTCCCGCACCGTCGCAAACTTCCGGAAGAGAGGTCCTCCATACCTCGAATTCCATGCTGCTGAACATCGCATTCCGTACGCCGGCGCCCTCTGATTCTGTCTGTATTCAAGCGAATCAGAGAGTGTCACTTGCATGCCGGGAAAAGGGATCATTGAACGAGCGATTCCGGCGAAGGGAGAGTTGATACGAGACCATGTGCTAAGGTTCTCATCCTGAAGGTGAAGTGTGTACAGTTCATAAGGCTCATGCAAGGGAACGTTTCTCTTTCTGAGGCAGCAGCGTTTCGCGGCCGAACGGAAGCAATAAAGCTCAGTGAGATTGTCTGTGAGTGTTTTGTCATTAATTCCGGTGGGGCTCAGTGTACGCTGTCCATATATTCCCATCAATCAATCATTCATTCATTCATTTGGTGAGTACGGATGCGCTTTTCGAGCTCAACGCACGTTTTATCATTGAATACTTCTTCATCGTCCATCTGATCTATCGGAATCTGCTCGCAGCTTCATAACCTAAATGTCATTCTCGCATTTTGTGGGTATTTCGGAGTCTGCGAATGTCCTTGAGCACGGGGTCAGTGGGAGCGCACGCTTCGGGCCAACGAAGGGAGCCGTTTTTGTTCATTGCCCAGTGTTCCTGAAGTAAATCTAAAAAAGTGAATTGAACGGAGATACTACGAAAGCTAACCTTCTGTATTTCAGACAAGACCAAATTTGCGATCCTGAGAACTATGAAAGGACGAGACAGCGAGCACACATTCCTTAATTGAGCATACACACAGTGTCTCGACCTCACCAACATTTGATAATCAAGCGATCGCATCCGAGAGAGCTGTCGCTGAGCGGTACTGGTGATGATTATTACTTACCTCTACAATTCGGGAGCCTTTTTTCCCAAATGCATCTTCCCGGAACTTAGGCTAAGCGTCTCTTGATCATTATTTTGTTATTCGGAGTCGCTTTCATCTAAACCCCAATAAAACAATTCGACTCAATCGAGTTAGCTCGCAACCTTGCTACAGTTCCCTAATCAAGAAAAACACTTTTCTCTGATCACACATGTATTACTCCGATAGAAAAACAGACTTATCGGTATCAGGCTTCAAGATGTTATCTAAATAGAACGTTGTGAAATAGTCTAGCAAATTAATGTTATGATAATGTATACCTCGACTGAAACATCGTCCCCTTTCCGAACTTCTCCAGTGGGACGATCTACTCCTCCCACGATGGGCTCCCCGTGGGAATGGCGATCCGGCGATCGTGATCATGGAGTCGGGGGGAAGCACAAATTTATAGCGTCCAATGACGGAGCTAATTCAGTGGTCGACAAAGTCTCTGAATGCTTTCTTGATTCAGAGTTTGGATATTGGAATTCCCGGGCATGGTGACCCGTGGTCGTTCTTCCTCCTTACTAGATATCCGTGAGCCGTATTGTTGGTGACTCGCTCGCAAAGCAGGGTAACCAAGTCTCCGGACTCGATCTTCGCCACAGCTTTCCGGAGTCGAACTTTCATCAAGGCTCGCGGAGCGCTCTGTGCCACTGCTGTCGGTGCATAGTACACCAGAGGGGCTTCGGTGTGCCCTGGCAAGTCGATGAATTCAACTCGGTGCCGATTCGCAGATTCGGCGGGAGCGGTTCCGATGATACCTCTATGCAACGCTCCTTTACTCAGCGCAAGCACCAACATTTGGGGTTTCACATCGTCGTGAGGGATAGCCGAAGGTAGAACGTTCATTTCGTCAAGAGCTCTCCGAACACGCCTCAGCGATGGATAGTGAGAGCACACCATCTCCGTGCGCGAAACCACGTGCATCACCTGCAATGAAGCACAAAACCCTCAGGAAGCGTCTACCGTGGCGCCCCGCGGAGTCCGGAAGATTCCTTCGACAATGTTCTAGAGGACTCTGAGCGAACTTGTGGTGTGAGAGTGTGTGAGACCAATAGTGTTCGTATTCACGCACCAGAAGCTCAGTAAGGAAACATCGAGTGCCGATCATTTCGAGCAGCAAATCATTCGGTGGTCTCCCCAAAATCGGCTGAGGCTCTTTTTCGGACGTGGGACGACTAGTCGGCGGAGGATGAGTCCCACCGAGCTCGATTCGCGAGAGCCTCTCGCGTGCTCTCTCTTCGTCCTCGCAGGAACTCCCAGTGCGCAGACGGACGTCACCGGGAAACACAATGACTCCTGGGTCAGCGGGGCCTCTGGATGGGATCCCTTCAAGATGAGGTTGTCCATTGGAGGTCGGCTCGGAAGTCGGTGCGCAAGGTTCAAGTTCGCCCGCTCGGTCCTCGGATAGAGAACCTTTCGCTGATGTGGCAGTGAGTCGTTCGAGACACGTGATTGTCACGAAGTCATCTCTCAAGTTGGTCTCGGTCGGAGTCTCCAACTCGATACGGATCTGGAAGTTCACGGATTCAGAACGATTAGGTCTTACTGATGATGGTCGATTCGTCTAAATGTGATGTCAGATGCGTGCAAATCAGTTATAAGGGTCAATGAGGACTCAGCTATGTCTCGACTTACTCCGTACGCTGGTACTTGCCGGAATTTCTCGGGGAGCACAAATAAATTACGTCTCGAATAGCACTCCCGTATTCCGTAGTCCAGGAGGAAAACGTCCACGAAGCTGCCTGTCGCGTTGAGAACTATTCCTGGAGGGGGGAGGCGAAAATGATTGACGAAGTGCCAGGATTTTTTCGTGATCGACCTCGCTGGGGCTCATGATTCAAGGGAATGATTCTGCAGCACCTACCTCTCGTGAAAGTTCTGTCCCATTGCACCACAACAAGGAGATCCCTACGGATATTATTCGTCCTTTTCAAGTAGTGTCGATTTTTCCGAAGATCCGCTTCGAGCGACTCGTACGTGTCCTTCGGCTTCCTCGCGAGATAACCTTCCAGGAAATCTCGACCCTGATTGAGAACCAGGACCGATTCCGTGGAATTGAGGACGACGGGCGGCGTCCCGATCTCGTACGCGTCGATTCGCATCCTCGATTGAGTACTTTATTGCTTAACGAGGCAGCGTATCGACTTCCGACACCGCGAAAGCGCCATCAAGCGAGAATTGAGAATGCTTCGAGATCCTATAACAAAAAATGGCGGAGGTACAGCGACGAATTGAACATTCAGCGTAAGCGTAAACAAGCCGAAAGGCGCGCCGCCCCGGCGGCGCATTCGTCCAGCGCACAGACAGTGCATAAGTTCGAATTCACAGTTTCAGGAGCGGCCGCTGAAGCAACGGTTCTGAGATGAGCGGGAGAAAAGTCTTTGAGATCCGAGCGGCCTCCGACCGTGTATGATCGCGATCCCCATCAATTCATCGCGGGCGTCTTATAGATGGCGCAGGCTCGAAGATTGTGCATTCCGTAGTAGATTCTCCTTTTTCTTGGTAAGGGTCGCGACTGCTCATTCTCGATAAGGGACTCGGTGGTTTTTCCGCGGAAGCCCCCACGGAGGCCCGCGCATAACCCGAATATCCTTACTCGAACCTACGATCCTCGATTGATGATGCTCGAAATCCCAGGGGCTTGGTCGAACATCTCGAATGTTCCACCGCCGCACATTGGAAATCGAATCGACTTAAGAAGCTCTCAATTATTCTCCTTCCGGCTGATCTTCGATTATCGTTACTCAATGTTACGAATCGTCACGAAAGAGCGGTTACGACGTCTGCTTATCTGGGTACCCAAAGAGAGGATTGGAGAATCGGCAGCGATTCAGATGAATTCGACCCAAAGTTCACTTTCCGGTCAACAATAGAGGGCGAAAACCTTGCTGGCTCGGTCTGGGCCATTCCCTCTCAAAAGCTCCCGGATTCGTTCCTTTCAATTGCTCATTCTCTCCTCTCGTTCCTTGAAAACTTCGTTTACATCGTCGATTCCCTACGACAAGGTCAGTTCATACGTCTACGCCGGGAATGTGCGAGTAATGGCTTTTCACCATTCCGGCTCATGGCATTTCAACGAAGTCCGTTTCGTCTGTGAGAGCGGATCGCAGTCGAGTTGGACATCCATTGTCTTCTCGATCTCCAACTGTTTCTGATCTCCTGATTGGAGCCCAGGGCCTGCATTATCGAGAGTCGACGCTCGGACTGCGGTTCCGAGTCGAGCTTGTCCGGACCCTTCTCCGTTGTCGAGCTCCAGGCTACAGCGGCCAGCTGAGAAGGGATGAACAAGGAATTGAGAGTTCCGATGATCAGAGCCTTCGATTTACGCTTTCCTCATCATCAGTTACGTTCATGGAGCAATTCCGGGAGCTCGGGCCGGTCACCGATGCTGGAGATATACAGCGAATGATGACAGCTTCGTCGAGTTGGAGGTTGGAGAGGAATGTGAGACGGAAGTGCAGCCCTTCGAACATTTCATCGTGATGGAGAATGTCTCAGATGGTCCCAGATGGTCCCTTTCGGTTTTGGAAACAGCCCGTCTCCGAAATCTACGAGTATCCCGCCATATAGTTCACCGCTTAATCATTCCGAGATGATTTCCGGTATTGACCATTGACCGGATTGGATCTCGAAGCTCGTCGTCTTCAGAATACAGTTGGGGTCTCAAACGTTTGTCAATCGTTCTGCGTTCTCGGAAAAGTCCCGAATGATTCCGTACACCTGGGAAGCGATTTTCTCTCGATTCGCGCCGTCGGAGAGAACTCTTCCCTAGGAATTTTCTGACTCCCTTCCGAATCTAAGGAGCTCGAAAGCTGTCACAGTGACAGCTTCCGAGCTGAGAGATACCGGAGCGAACCTCATGATTTCCGTTCTTGCTCCAGCCTTCATCTGTGAGCTGTAAAAGTGGTTCTGAAAACCTAAGTTCGTAGTTCGGCGGAAGTCAGTCGAAAACCAAAAATCGAATTACCACGATCTCCCTTCCAGGTTACGATGAGTCATTCGGAATGTATCGAGAGGTTTTTTGTTTTGTTTAGGCGAGTTTCGATTCGTCGCCTGCTCATCCGATGGGATCGAATGTTCCGGCGACGGGTCTTCCGCGCCAGTTCGCGGATGAGCGAGCGTGAGAGATCCTCAGCTATATCGGGGGGCTCTGAAGCGTTCTAATTCTGACTCTCCGAACGATCGGAGGTTTGAATGCGGGCGGAGAACTTAGAAGCCTGTTCTCCTTCCCCCCTTTGCGAGAGAGTACTTACTTATTTAGGAGACGTGCACTACTTTCCAAAATGCGTGAGTGTTCAGGAATAACTTTGCTTGTGTAGTCCCCCTGATTTCTCCGCGAACGTCTCATTCTCTCAGAGGAGCCTTGGTTCGCGTTTTTTCACGCTCTCTATCACCGAACGGGATCGCGACAAGTTTCCGTCGCGAGGAACGTCCCGTGAGTCCGTTTCTGAATCCCTGTGGAGCTCGAGCGGTTTGATTTATTGGATATTCGAACTGGGTGTTCCCCGATCGGTATCTCCCGCACGATCCCCGGCAATACGTATTGACGCGGTGACCAGACCGTTGTGGCCAGTCGAACCAGACTGAGGCGGGGTTATGATCTACTCGTCTTCCAATTCACCTTGTTCCGCAAGCGTCAGATGAGAAATCTCTCCATACTGTATCGCCGATTCGAGGTCGGGGTTGGTCTAGATGTCTAGATCATGTGAATTTTTTCCAATCGAGTCGACCTCGTCCCGATGGAATGAAATCCTGTCAATTGGGCGCTCTGAGCAAAGTAGCGAGAACCCTTCGATCGGAGAGCGGAAACTTCGTCTCAACTAACGCACAGGATGGGAATATCTAATTCCATCCTCTGTCAAATTCATGCCCCATCTCAAAGTCTCTTACCGCAGGTGACTGAAGTTTCGGGTGCGGAGACCCTGAGACAGTTTCCTCGACGGTATAAGCGCACCCTGAAAATTCAAGATGCAGACCTATCAGCCCGCGTACAGATATCAAGCCCATGCCGATCGGTGAGTTAGTGCTCCAACAATCTGATCAAGACGGTGCCCTGATCGATGTATCTTGCAATCTCATGGACTCAACCACGACACGCTCTCTTCAACGTCCAGGAGCATTGAATGGGCTCATAGTGTTTAACAGGCAGCAGATACCGGCAGCTCCTCTCAGTCTCACCGGATAGACATGAGTTCTCCCCGAGATTTCGAGAATATGGCTGCTGGATGAGGGTGGTTTTAGCTATGGCTTCCTTCACTGGTCCCTGTTTGCAAAATTGGTAGCAGATTTGCTGCAAATACCTCTAAAATATTTCTTGGAAGATTCGCGGTTCTTCGACAATCCCTCACTTAGTCGAACACACCCCGTCTTGATTTCTGATGTCATTTTTGAGTGATGCAGCTTCTTCGATGGGAAAACTGGGTATCTAGACCACGAGAGAGAAATGTCGCGGAACCAAGCGATTGCGAAGCGTACAAACACATGCAGCCGATAAAGTTCTGTTACCGATCTGTCTGCAAAAATTGTCGCTTCACGAAACCAGGTGGCAGAATATCCAGCAAAGGGATGCGATCCAGGTTCTCTACCATGCCAAAGGTCAACTGGAAACCACTCTCGAATGCATAGGGTGCTTCCGAGGTGCACTGCCGACGCTGAGAATCACTGACGACGCGCTACTCCAGGTGAATTCCCCGGTTAACAGTACCCTCTCCTCATGTTTCGTACTGTTACTATCCTCATGAAGAACTCAACTTGTAGGTACTAGTAGCAGGGCCTGGGTAGTGACGCCTTCAGAGGGATATTCCTTGTGGATGCTCTCTATCAACGTTTGCCATATCTCTGATCAGATAATTTTTTTCACCGTGACTTCTCGTAGATCAAACATACGGTACATCAAGTTAATGCAGCGATGGACACGATGCGCCATTGCCTGAGGGACATAAGCTTCGATCCGAGGAATCAATGGCCACAACCCATCGCTCCTTTCGCGGCAGTGAGTTCCCTCATCTTAGGAGTCAGGAGGAAAGATTGAGCATCTTAAGATAGGCAAACATATTGATTAGCTCTGCATAGTTATATATATGATTGAAAATCGCCGTGGAGCTGATATCATACATTTTTCTAGCCAATTCCTCCGGGTTTGATGTCGACACCTTTCCTCATACCCCCGATCGGCGCTGGCCATGCCTTCTCAGCTTCGGGCCGTCCTCGACAAGAACATGGCAAAGTCTTCGAATCGCAGACTTTCTCGAGAACAGATACGCGTATGAACGACGCAGCAAAAGTAGATGCGTCTGTCCCGGGTTCCACATTCATGGATTTCAGAGCAGAAAATTATTTTTCATTCCACCAAGAGAAATCCCGCACTCCTGATGGGTCGATCATGAGTGTCAGCTCTTCGAATGCGGACAAGCCGAGCGACAGCACCAGCCATCTGACCGACTGCGATCGGATCCCCGAAAGAATGCCGGTGACATGCTCGGCCACTGATGTCTCGGACTCGATTGCAGGACCGAGTACGGAGCCTGAAGAAACCTCGAAGCCGATTTCTGACCCAATCCCGGCGACAGATGCGGATCCTCATGCGGAAGCAACTCCCGAGGGTGTACTGGTGAACCTGCGAGACGAGAATCAATTGGATTCCGACGATGATACGGATGAAAGGCCAAATCATGTACTCGAGCAGTCTCGAGTCTCAGATCCCGATAAAATAATCGAGCTGGAGCTCGCCGCTCGACCGAGGGCTTCCTCCCTCGACCCCGACGGCGATCTCGGATTCTGTTCGACCCGAGATTCGAGCTCCGATTCCGGCCGGGAGAAGATCGCGGAAACATCCAACGATGGCTCATCTCCATCGATCACAAATGTGACTCAACCGTGCGAGGAGCGAGATCAATCTTTGAGCTTCATTGGTGACGATAGTTTAGGAATGACCTCCGACGGGGAGCTGCCGGAAATCGTGGCTAGGACTCCGACACAGATGTCAGCATCGGGCTCCGAACTAGACGCCGTCCTGAAAGGGAGCCCTGACTCGTCAATTTCGCTAGAGGAACCCCTCCTAGAGAGCAGAGGCCACGGCGATTTCTCCCTCGCAGCCGACAGCGGCATATCGCATCAGACCACCAAGTATCGCAGCGGGCGGGAGTCTAACCACTCCAACGGATCGATCGATGGCTTCTGCTCACCTGTTCTGAGCGAAGCCAATACTCTGACGAACGCTCAGATGTGTCCACAACTCTACGAGATCGACGAACTGGCGCGATCGCTGGAAAAGCGATGGTCGCTGAACGATATGATGGCCGAACTTGTTATTGAAGACGTTCCATTACGCAATGTTCCGAAGTCCGGCTCGAAACCAGAGGACATCAGAGAGTTTCGTATTCCACCACCGATGGAGCACGTCGAGGCTGTTGTGAGTTACGCCTCGGAAAAGAGCCTTTACGTTCAACTTTTGCTGGACGAAAAAGACATTTTGGCGCTCGATGGAGCGGTGAGTCCGTTTCCTTAGTCCGGGGATGGCATGGTCGATTCACGATCTGCCAGACTGAATTGCGCAGTTTGCCAGAACTCACGATGTTTATCGCGCCTTTCGATCCACAGATACAGAGCGGCGGGAGCTCGCCTCCTCTCAAGTTTTTTGAAGTTCAGCCCGGAGATTTCGTGCTGTGCCAATACGAAGTCGACGACCGATTCTACCGTGCTCGACTTCTGAGAGCGAGAGGTGACGACAAATTCGAAGTTCGCTTCGTAGATTATGGGAACAGATGCGTTGCTTCGGTGAAGAACATGAGGAGACTCCCGGAGAATTTACGCGATCTCGGTCGTTCCGCAATCAAATGCGACTTCTCTCAGAATCTGCGAGCGAATGCCGCGGCCCTCAAGCAGACCTTGCAGGTAAATGCTCGGAGAGAATCTCCTGAAGAATCGTTCGAAATCCGGGCGACTCATCCGAAGACCTCACCGTAACACGAAGCGATGCCTGAGATTTTTTAAAACAAATCCCTCGTCTCAGGAAATTTCTGAAGAAAGCTATTTCCTCGTCTGCTTCGACAAGAAGTACCGGGACCGGGATCCTAGAAGCCCAATCTTTACTATAATCGACGCTCAGCGCGTGGATGGTTCACCACTGTTGCAAATCCCGACTCAAAAGGTGAGAATTTTCTCGGGAACCCCACGGCGGATACCAAGTCCGAGCGACGATCATCAGCGCTTCTCTTGCAGAGTCTCGGTCCGGTAGATTCCAAGTTGTTGGTTCGAAACTTGGAATTGAAAGCCCATGGATTGGCAAGCGTCGATCTGATGGAAGATCTTGACCACATGTCGACAGTCGTTGATCGAATCAATGACCTACCGCCTCTGCCTTGCGGCAAGATAAACGCGAGGGTATGTGTTCTGACGCTTGATTGTCGACGGATTTGAGCCCCATCTCTGGGATTCTCACTGGAGCCCTTCAGCTGTGGAGATATAGCCTCTCGTTCCATTCTCAGGTAGGTTCTCTGGTCGTCTACGAAGGACAACGTGCGGAAATAATCTGGGTTATGCCCGGTGAGCTGGTCTCTCTCGAACTAATCGACGACCCGCGGAAGAAGCTGGAGAATATACGTTTAGAAAATTGTCGCGCCTTGCCTTTAGCAGCCATCGATATTCCACCAGCCGCTCCACGGATGGTTCGTGTTGAAAAGCTCGAGGTGAGTTCTTGCCATCGCGTCAATGAAGTTCTGGAGACAGCAACTCCAGTCGGCCGGATATTGGACTACCTCGCGTACTCGATGTTGAAGAAAGAATTCTCGACTTTCAGAGTGTCGAGAAGCTCCGAGGACTTTGTCCGCTGGAATCGGGAATCGAGATGATCGTCGTGGGAGCAGGTGTTCCGCCAGTGGTGAAGTTCCCCTGCGTCGAGTGACTTGAATCTCAATATACTCCCGGAAAGGATTCTTCGTCGGGGAATACCCATAACTTATTCTAAGACGTTCTACTATTGCGCGCAAATGAATAGTACTTATTGTGGAATAAATTGAGTTGTAATCGATGGTTTGCGCGACTCCATCGCTGGAGTTCCGTAATAGTTGCCGTACCCTGCAATGCAAAAAGGCAATGCGTCGATAAATACGCGTCGCCCCACGCATCGGAGCTGGGCTCGATTTTTTTCCGGTACAGGCCTCGAGCCTAGTCGATCAGCATTGGTGAAGCCTGATTGATTGAAGAATTGATCGATGGAAGACGCATCGGTGGTTGCTACGGGGGCCCGCAATCACTTGCGATCTCACATGGCAGATCAGACTCTCGCTACATACTACCTCTTTTTCAAAGCATCTTTTCTCCGTGCGAATCAAAACACGTATGCATCTAGTCAATCTCGGCGATTGTGGGATAGCTTGCGTCTCCCAGTGAGGGGGGAATAAGGAGCCTTCGATGTGAGCTGACTTCCTGCAGTCAGACGAGGTCTGTAATGATCTGACTCGACGCTTTGATCGGAGTTCAGAATACACAAAACCAGGAGAACGCGAAACTTGATTTCTCCGACGACAAATCTCAATATATTCGGTACAGCTCGAACCCGAGCGGAGCTCCCGAACTCGAGGGTAAACAGGGAATTTTCCGTGTCCGCGCCCAAGGCTGCAACACCCGTAAACTCCAGGGAGTGATCGGCTACAAGCAATGTTCTGGGAGATTATCTGTGCGAGAGATGAGATGATTACGTCCACGAATGGGATAATTTACGATGGATCGACCCGCCGCGGCGAACTCGTCTCTCTGTCGTGGCGGAACTTCGGCTTGTGAATAACTATCCCCATTTTCAAGCCCGCGGTCGGGGTTGCGATATGAAACAACGGTTTTCATTCACTCATGACGAGAAGCGGGTATTCGATGTGTTGATAAGCAAGCATCACTTATATCACACGTTTGGGGTCTGTCGTGGTTACTGATGCATATCACCATCCTGCATCCCCCTGCGTGAGATCAGCAAACTGTAGATCTGCACAAATCGGACGGTTCGCGGTAGCTCTTTGTTGAGCAGACCCGGTATCTGGTCGAGGGGTTCGGTCCCTTCCGGTCGCCAGTGCTTATTGCGTTTGCCTTGAAGTAATGCGGGTCGACATTGGCCATTTTACATTCCCAACTCTCAATCCAGTTCCAGAAGGCTCCTTCCGTAGTCCGGAACGCTCCTTCCCGCTTAATCAGTGGCGTTGGACCAAGTATTCGATGGACAACGGCGAGTTCGCGAGCAAGAAGACTTATCTGGATCGGGTGAAGGACAAGGGTTCCGCGGATCCGTTGCAGAAACCTCGCTTCCACTTTGTTCAGCGTCTCGAAGTTGACAGGCGGCAGCTTGTCCCAGATCAGGTCGATGCCGTATGATGCCCTCGTGCGACTCCCGAGTCGAAGGGCACACCACGGCTCTCAGAGATAGCAGCTGTGGTCTCAGGATGGAGAATAGACATTGTTGATTGAAATATCGGGGATCAACGTGTTCGAGTTCACCCCTCCAAGGATCTCTGGAAAGAATCGGGTCGACAGCTTGAGGGATCCCGCGCGTCTTCGCGGGCTTCCCAATCGAGTTTCACCCAAGTTGGTAGCCTAGTGGCCGATTTTTTCTCCAATCAAGTATTATGTACGAATGTGCTCACCCTATGATTGGTCTACGAAAACTGAGAGAACATTAAGGACACATGTATATGCACTTGAGGCACAATGTGGAGGTGCCTGTTTCCGCCGGAGCACATTTATTGGAACAGAACTATCCAAAATGGCCATTCGATCCTCCACTTGGGCGTTTTCAATTTTAAATCCTGGCCGACGGTGCGCACCATGAGGCCGCCGCCTGCTTATGGTCGCGATTCGCGATCCGTTCCTTACCCGCACTCCCGAGACATGAATCCATCGACCATGTCGAAGACGTATAGCGGGACCACCACGTGGTCGCTCGGCGAGTCGGTCGATCCCATCTAGCACGATCTCGACGAGGATCTTTTTTTTTTTGAACGAGCAAGATTTATCCTTCACCTGACGCCGAATGCAAAAGTTTCGCACGTAGCATCTTGTCCCGGAGCTTTCTGGTTCGATTCCGTGGTGCCAAAGCAGACTCTCCTCTCTTCGCAGTAATCTTTTTCCGTCTGCCCAGGATCGGGAGCGCTCATTTTCTCCCGCTCACCCCGCTGACCTGCGAATAATGAAATTAACGCAGGGTCCCGGTTGCCTCCGCCAGCTCTATCAAGGCCTCGGATCCCCCGATTCTCGAGTCGGGTCTCCAGGCAGACGTTGTAGACAATCAATTCGACTTCGGGCATCTCTTACCTTGTGGCAACTTCTCTCTTGGGAGCAGCATTCCGTTCCGAGACGCGAGAGGACAGTGTCACCCGACGTTTAGTGGCTCCTGATCCAGCAGGACTAGCGGCATCTCTGCTCTCCGCGGCAAAGAAAGTTTGTTCCGCTGTCGCAACGGGGACTAACCCTCTGGATTCCCACACGACGAGTGCCTCGCACGTCCCAACGCTCCAGGTCTGAAAGAGCATCGCCCGCGCGTGACCGTCCGAGTCGGGAGCTGAACTCGGAATGCCCGCATTCCACGTGTCGCCTGTTGGAACCATCTTCAATGAGGCGGACATGACATTTTCGGGAACGGTCACATCCACACACATTTCGAAGTGCCTGGCGGGGTAGACACCGATGTGCACCGATGTGATGCGCGGCGTCGCCTCAGAAGCCTCTCGACGGTGCCAAATCCTATGATCATCTGTATGAGGCCGCGAACGGGACGACTTCCCACCGGCTTCTTCCCATTCTACTTCCCCTGAGTCCGCATGCCGTAATAAAATGTTTGATCATCATTGAAATGAAAATCCAGAGCCCGAATGCGTCTATCGGAGACCGCTCCTGATTGTTCAGGCTCTTGAAACACTGCCCTGATCGATGTGTGCCAAGTGCCAGGGTTCCAGGAACTCCTCCCCGAGTGCGTCGCCGTCGTCGAACACGGGAAAATCTTCGTCGCTCAGAGCTCCTTCGGACAGGCCTAGAACGACTATGTCCATTCGGCCGTGGAGTCCAGGCGACTTAAGAAGCGAGGTAGAGTCGCGGCCCAACAGAGGTTGAAACATGAAGTCCCGGCCCCCTAGTCGACCTGGAGGTTAGGACTTGAGCCGCTGACCCATGACCGTGATGTGCCTCTACTATGATAGTATTCAATGTTCTCGATGGATTCCTTCTTCACCTTATCCACGCGCGGGCTTCCCCTGGGACTCATCGAGTTCCCTATATAGGCTCCGAAGCGGCCGCGGCCCGTCATTCGAGAGCCACAGCTCTAGACGATCTTTTCCCGCAAATTTTCCCGAGGAGCCCACTAGTCTCTAGTTGACAAAGGACGTCGAGACCGGATGCAGCAGAAATAATTCTAGAAATCGTGTGCTCGGAGATTACCGAGATTCCGAGCAGAGACCGCGATAGATGGGGAAACCGTTGGTTCACATCGCTGAGCACTTGTCAGCACTCTCCTCGGGTCTGACGCGGCTCAAGACTCGTGAGTGGACTACAGCCGTGATCGTCCACTGAAACCCAAAGCTCGGGCTTGATTTCCGTCGCGGCCTATCAGCTACGGATCCAAGGCATCTTCGAGCTCCCACGGACTCTCTGTCGCGGGGGAAGGGGGGGGGCAGGAGGAGCAGCGTGGAAAAGCACGGCGCCCGTCGCGGGCCGCGACTCAGCAATGGCCTAACTCCTTGCACGATTCTCCATCCCCGCTCAAGCAAAGACCGAAACGACATAGCGCCCGTCTGTAGCATTCAGAGTCCAAGACGTTCCGAGTCTTCCGATCTCGCGGGGCGGTCCATTTCGGCTCTCGCGAGTTTTCCTTAAGCTTCTATCTCCCTGGATCTCCGACGTTGCATCATCTGTCACATCATGCATCGGGTACTCGAACGAGGGAGCGAGATGAAGAATAGACTGGTTTATTGTATAGATTTGACTCATTCCTTGAGTCGAAAGAAGGCTAATCGCGCTATGATCCACTATAATCTGATCAATCTCGTTGATCGCCTCCAAACATGAGTTTAGATATTCTTCGAAAAGGTCGATATTTTCTGTGAACTCGAGAAGCTAGACATAATCTGAAATCATGAACGGCCGTCTGAAGCGAGACAGATATACCTACACTACCTACATCGATCGATTCACAACATATGCCGCACGACTCAAGCTGTCGGCGACTCGTCGATCCCCGTTGCGGACTTACGTCTCCCGGGGAAGAAGAAAAGTCCGCCCGGGAGTTTACGGCAGCCGATGCTCCGGAGATACGCCGAAAGTTTCCCGGTATAGCACGGACTCCGAGAGAATAGATTCCGGAACCTAACGATTATGCTGACTAGGTCCAGTTCCTGTCCGGAGAGCAAGGAGAGAAGTCGACCTTTGCATCCAACGTGAACGGAACCATCGGTGGAACAATAGCCCCTCGCAACCAACTGCCTCTCAAACTCTATTTCACTGATGGGTTCAGCCCCACTGAAGTTTTCTTTGAAAGCGCTATACAGGAACTCCAGTGATCGGTCTTCCGTCTCGATCAATCCATCGATGAATAACATCTCTTCCCTTTCAGACCGAGGAGTTGCGAGAGACTCCCGCTCGCATATCGTTGGGCACGGACTCGACAATCCATTGGATTCGGAGTCACCCACGGTGAAGTCGGAGAACGACGACAACTCGCCGTTGACCAAAGCGGGTTCATGCACTTTCTGAGAGCCGTCTGATTCTGATAGTCGCTCGTGGCTCTTGGATCCGTCGTCGCCGGAGTGAATCGCCGTTGGATTCTCCTCGACCTTCTCCGATTTTTCATTCAGGGTTTCGTTCAAAACGACACAGGATTTCTCTACAAGGAATTCCGGGTGACTCCTCAAATATTGCACGAATGTTGGCGCCTCGCTCATGACGGGGGCGTGGAATTTTCTCTGGTACAGCTCCTCCAACCATTTCTCTCTGATACCGGGATTCTGCGAGACCAATTCGAAGAGGCGATGCAGTTGATGTTCGGAGTTCTCAAGGAGCTCCTTCCTCGTCCAGACTGCCTTGACCGGAGTCGGAACTGATTGGTATCTCGCATAAATACCCTCGCTGATAGTGATAACGGTGTCACAATTTTTGAGCTCGTCTAGAGGCAGACTACCGGCGGCCACAGAAATACCCAGTATGCTCTTCAAGAGGGTCGGCAGCTCGTTTTGGTAAACCACACCCGTCCAGAGGACGATTCTTCGCAGGCATTCCAGTAGGAACGTCGAAGATATCTTCTGGTATTTGACCCTCGAATTTTTCATTATTACATTCGGTATCGATTCCATGAGGACGGACCCGTCCGAATGCCCAAGATGGCCGCACGATGACTGCTGAAGAACTTCATCGATACGGCACCACTTTTCCCTCCCTTTGAGGTACAGTAAGATCCGTCTTTGAAGGTATGACAAAGTCCGCAGATCCTCCCAAACTTCAATTCCCAAATCGTTTGGCACAAAGCTCGGTCGGATTCTCCCGCTTGGAAAAGATCGAGCGACTCCAAACCGACTGCATGAAGGCAAGGCGAAACCGAACGCAGAAGGGAAGAAGTCCAATGCTTGCGTGATTGACAAGCCTAGACAGAGGTCCGCCAGGTGCTCAGCGTAGAGGCGGCATTCTCTCGACGAAAGTACGTCGTAACGTACTTTATTATTGACCAGCATGAGAAAGTCGATTTCTCTCTGCCGATCCTGAATCCAAGCTTCTGAGACGGCTATCCCGGAAAGCTTCTCATAAGATTCAGTGAATTCATCAACCGACATCCATTTTTTAAGTCCTAGGACTTCGATGATATTCTCCCGAGTCTCCTCGGTGGAATCTCGCGGAGGTCGTAGGGATGCTCGATCCTCATCATCAACCTGGACACCGGGAATAGACTCGAGCCAATCCCTGAGCTCCCCATCGAACTGCAGCCTCGAGTCATATCGCTTCCTGACCCGACTCAGTAATTCAGGGAGGGTCGAATTGGGATGGGTTGAGAGAACGTCGATCACTTTTTCCTGCTCTGTGGGTGTTCGATCTGTCTGAACTTCTTTTGACTGAACGGTCGTCAAGAGGTGTTTGAAGGGGGTTGATTGAAACCAAGTTCCAAGGTCCCGTCCGTGGTAGATGGAACGCCTCGAAAGCTTCTCGAAACGCTCGAGGAAGTCATCTAGAGCGGCTTGGACATCAAGAACTTTATGCGGGTCCAAGTTGGGAAATTTATTCCCAATATCCGCTGGCATGATCGATGCTCTACAGAACTGATCGATGTGCAGATTGGGGATGGTCATTAGCCATTTCTTGAGTTTCCCTCTGTAAAAGGGTCGGAAGCCGTATTGCCTCCGTAGACGTTCCAGCAGGTCACAGAGGGGTAATTTTCCCTCGTGTTCGACGAGCTCAATGACAAGACGATCACGATCGAGGGGGGCAGACCGGTATTCCGTCTTGGGGACGTGTATGCTGCCGTCGCAATGGACAGCGTATCCCAAATTTGTGAGCCAAGTTTTCACTTTCTTGCCGGCAGGAATGGACGGAGGTGTCCGATAGAATTCTTTGTAACATTGGCGGAATTTGTTCGTATCCAATCCCGGTGTTGCATGTAGGAGTTCCAATACTTTCTGCCGATCGTCGGGGACATCTGAAACATTCGAGTGCCGATTGCAGAGAGTGTGCGAAACATGATTGCATCCCTCATTGCATCCTTCATACACAAACAGAATAGATTTACTCTCGCTCTCTCAAATCGAACTCGTTACGATAGGAGCCCACGCTTCTCTTGCGGACCAGCTGTCTCGAAAATCACACTCACACTTAGACGATTCTGTCGAAAGGGTCATGATTTATCAGCAGTCGTATAACCGCAGCCCGGAAGCTTGCGGGCGATCTCGGGCTGGAGTTACAAACTTGTCTTTGCGGACGACTCCGGATAGAACTTGAAGTCAGGCCCAGCGTCGAGAAATATCTGTTCTTCGAGGATGCGAGGGTTTTTATCCCATGCTCTAAGCGCGCACGATGGAGACTTCTGGCTCCGCGCGCGTCGTCTGCCTTACCATGTGTATCTACGAGCACTGCCGCAGCGGAGGCTGGCGCCAACTCGAAATTTTTTCCCTCCCTTCCGGTGGCTCACCGGGCACGGCTCCCAGCTGGCTGACCGAAATTCGGCGCGATAGTTTCGGTTGTGGTGCAGACAGATACCACTGGATGGATCATACAACACGATTATCCCGCCGCCTTATCTCCTACGTCTATCTTGAGTTGGATCAACTTCTTGTTGCTCTGCTCCGGTACGTGCAGCCACCTTCTCCGCTCCGCATTAAATGTAGGTCGAATTTCCTTGATATAGGCCGTGCCCATCGACGGTTGATTGCAGGATATTTCTCCAGATCTGGGCTTCTTCGTTCTTGTTTCCCTCCCCCAACGGGCTCAGTGCCCTATCCTTTCGCCTGAGTAGAGGTTCTCCTTCTCACGCTTCCTTTCTGCACTCTGGAAATTCCACTCACACAATCGAACATCAATCATTTCGAATGACTTCAATGTTGCGGAAGCGGCTTATCCGTCGGTGGAGGAGTAAGCACTTCGAACTTCCGTGTTTGGAGGTTACTTTCGGTATCGATTCTCTCGGGACGCTCTCATTCGACCATCTATGAATTACACTGAAAAGATACTCCTCGCGATTCGCTCCCAATCTTAACAAACCATGGCAAGAGCTTATTAGAGTCCAGGATCGAACCGGGACTCTTTTTCGTGAAGCACTCGTCTCGGACCTTCCAAATATCCGGTCTATTGAGTCTGCGGGGCACGGGCTGAGAACGGGGCGGGTGCCCGCGAGGACCGCGGATAGTAAGGGGGATGCTCGTCGATACGAATGGCTTACTTACAGACATTGAGCATCACGGGAACAGCCAAACAGATCAGATGTATTAGGCGGACTCCTCACACAGCCACACACCTATGATCAAGGAACGCTCGCTACGGAGACGACCATCGCCGGGAACGAGTCGCAACGATGGAAAGCACCTTCGATGGTTCAATGGTTTATTTGGATCAGATAGTTTCATAATATGTACACATCAACCTTTCGATTCAGGCGCGGGTTGGCTCGGCGGATCCAGTGGTTTCACGCTCCCATTTCGAGGAGGCGCCTCCTTGACTCCACGGCATTACGGTTAAGCTCTGTGGTCAAACCCACTTTGATTGCGAGTTCGTCTGACGTGAAGTAACATTCATTGCAATTGAAGACCGAGAGCCTCCTCCATGTGGCAGCGGTCGGAGCATGTCGAACGCATCATCGAAAAAAGCAATCCGTTTTTATTTATATTTTACAATTACAACAACGTTTTTCATGATAATAATGTAGGAATATGAAGAGCTTCGGGAAACGAATGCCTGCCACCAGGTGGAATCAGGGATGTCATCGCTCATGCCCTTGAGGAACATCCTTGCGCTGCCCAATTGCACACGTTTCTGGTATCTGTAGACGGGCTGCGAACTGCGCATATCATATCGCAAGCATATGTGGGTTCTTGGGAAATTGTCCAACATTGGGGGCATCGTTTTCTATCAGAATGTACATCATAGCTTGCTCTTGATGTCGTCGTAGTATTCTTCCGGCAGGAAAAAGTCCAGCTGAGGTTTCGCTCCCGGGACGGCTGCATACACATCGAAATCTCGAACTCCTGCTCCGAAGAATCATTTGTGGTTATTCTCTGCAGAAGGCGCATCAATCTCCCGGGAGGAAGTGATTCGACGGCCCAAGGAAATCCGTGCTGGGATCTCATGCGGCTCACCTTCTTCGCGGAGTACGTCTTCATCGATGCAGAAGTTCCCAGTGAAGGAATTCGGCCGGCAGAGGATGCCGTAGGCGGCATCGGCCATGATCGCCGGGGATCGGGATTGCTCCATCGAGCTTTTCTTGTCCCCTGTCAGCATCTCTGTCGCCGCCGTGGCGATCATGGTTTTCGGCCAAATGGTGTTCACAGCTATGTTATCCGATCGGAACTCCTCAGCCATACCCAGAGCACACATCGACATGCCGAATTTCGTCATCGTATACGCTAGGTTAGGAGCGAACCATCTAGAGCTCATGACCAGTGGGGGTGAGTGGTTTAGGATCTTCCCTCCGAACTTCGACGCACGAAGATGAGGAATGCAGTGCTTCGTCGTGAGGAAGGTCCCTCTCACATTGATTCGATGCATCAGGTCGTATCTGGAACGAATGACGATTTCATGAAAACCCCGTAAACCATGGACATCGTGCGCGATATGTATGTACATGGACAGGTCACGGGATCAGAGGGGATAAATGTGAACTGTAAACTGTAAGCTCACTTTTTCATATCGGTCGATTCCGTCGCGGTGAGAATGATGGCTGATGCGTTATTCACGAGAATGTCGATACCTCCGAAGTGTTTGACAGCGGCATTGATAGCCTTCATGACGCATTGCTCGTCTCGGACGTCCATGACGATTGGAAGACATCGTCCTCCGGCAGCTTTGACTTCTTTCGCGGCTGTGTGGATCGTCCCCTTGAGCTTCGGGCGAGGACAGCCAGTCTTGGCAGCCACAACGATGTTCGCTCCGTCCTGGAGGAGGACAAGAGAGGATCTAGCTAGCTCGAAAGAATGAATGTTCATTTGTGAATCTGCCTGTACTAAGATTCTCGTGGATTCATTATGAGGAATTTCGGCGCGGAGTTCGTCCGGACGTCACGATCATCTCATACTGTAGGGAAAGATCAGGATTCCCTGTTTGGGAAGTGTTAATTCGTGTTTGGCGATGCGCCATCTCGTTTTTGTCGATTTTGACTTCGCCTCCTGTCTCCCGAAATATCCTCCGAATCGATGAGGAAGTTTTGTGCGGATCGCCTTGATCCTCATGCCGTCAGACATCCAGAGAGAAGGGGTGATGATCCCGTCGATTGACGATATGGAGCGTCCCTCATAACGGTTTCATATTTCCGAATACATATACGAATTCCGAGAGAATGCTTGACCGACTGAGAGACTCTGATGCGCTCTATGTTGAAGCTTCCCGGCTTCGATTGAGTCAGTGAGTTTAGGATATCGGATCTTTTCCTCGATTCGGAAACTTCCCATAAGCTAATGACAGCGAGCTCTCCCAATGGGTGGGGTTTGGTGAGAGTCCCCCGTGGAGGGAAACGGCGATCAACTACGACATTCGTGCAATGACAGAAGCGGCCGGACATTTCTAAGAGCGGATAGCTCCAGCTAGAGTCATAGCTCGTCGCTGGATTCCACAGAACATTGGTGGACCAACCTTGGCGCATTTGACGGCGATCTCTTTTCCGATTCCTCGGCTCGCTCCCGTAATGAAGATAGTGCGGCCTTTGAGTTTCCCGGTGTTCTCCATCCCGGCTCGCCGCTGATGATCGGTTCCAAGAGTTTCCTGCGAAAACGAGAGCGAATCGAAGTGAAACTCAGAACTCCTCCTTTTGCACTTATTCCACTCTTGAGCTTTCGAAGCTAATCACGAGCCTCTGGGTCGACTTTGATCGGACCCATCACTGAGCATGTCGGAGTTCGACATCCTGGAAGAGACAAGATTTCGTTCGCTTGCGCTCTCTTTCAGCGTCTCAAATCGCTGACTTCAGAAAACATCTCCTCTTTGACACCGAATTCCCAATGGCATGGGGCGATACCAGCCGAAGACACACTAACGACAGCTTCTGAGGCCCCAATCTGAAGTGACCGGGAGCCCCACCCCCGGCGAGGGAAAGGACTGACGAGGAAGGCGACTGAGAGCAACAGAGAGACGGCTGACACCGAGAATGGCCCGAAGAGACACCCTCGGCCTTGGCCGGGACGGACGAACCTTTCTCAATTGCACAGAACCTCGCGAGTTGACGGGTGCGTTCGCAGACCGAGTTTCTTTGGGACGGTTCACGCGAGGTAAGAGTCGACACGCTCTCGCCACCCATTTACGCCGGAGCCAAGCGGCCCCTCTCCGGCGGGTCGACGTCCAGTGACGGAAAGCGCCATGATGCTCCGTACGGTTCGCACGCGATGATCGGAACAGCTGACTCTCGTAAAAGCGATCACTGAGCGGTAAAGCCACAAAGCCGAAGCGCTCCATTCTTCTTCGCGTCCGTCGTCGCTCAAGATCGACCGCTCTTCTGACTGCGTTTTCTCTGAAGTTCTTCGTCGGAGGAACTTTATCCATAAGCTGGCCATATGGCCGGCAAGATTGGGACATGAAAGCGCAGAAGTGCGCCGAACCAAGACAAAAACTGGAGCATTCCATGGAAGAATGACTCCACTCAGGTTTTGGTTTGCGGAAACCCCGAAGTTCCTGTCCCGCGATGAACTCCTGCAGATGCGGTTCATACCGGAAATACCATTTGAGATGTCCGCCATAATTCAGCAGAGACTCTGGAATTCCGAGGTCTTAGCGTTGCCCGATTGCTCCCGGGTACGTGAGGACATCGGCGAGGGCGAGCGGGTGGTGTATCCGAGATTCTTTTCCTCCGGAAGAATTCCCTCAAGTTTCCCGTCAAATCCCAGGAGGGAGCCTCGTCCCCGTACTACGGCCCGAGTATGTGTCGGTAGGTTTCTCCCATGATGATTCTCATCTTAATTCGAGGATCACGGAGACGACGCAGACGCCCGAGGACTTCCCGCACTCGAGAGACGACGGTGTCTCCCATTTCCAGCGGCACGAAATTCGCTGCACCCCGCACGCACCTCATTCTCAGGACGGGCTGGGAATAAGTACCTGATTTCGATCATGCTTCTTGTCGCGCTTATTGAGGCTCCCCTCTTCTGCTGCTTGGTGAACGGGGATCGCTCGCGCAGTGCGCTTCTGTAGCAACGTGGCGTAAATCCCCGATCTCGAACCGGTCTCGGCTGCCGATCTCGGAGGTCCCTGAGGACGGTGAGAATGATTCATAATACGATCATCTGGGGAATGTATTCGACATATGCTGTGATAATATCCACCTGCCATATCGCGTCAGAACCTTTGACTATATTGGAAGGGCTCGTTCAATAAAGGAGCGTAAAATATCCTTTGTCGGCCGGAGCCACCGACTATGACTCTCGGAACGACATTTCAAAGCGTACAAAACACGGGGGTTCCGCGCTCGAAATAAATCGGGAACTGCCACTCTGGATGTTCATGAGTCTCACACGATCGAAGGCAAGACCGTCCTCATGTTCCTTTTTCCGCTTGGCATGTTCTTACGCGTTGATCCCTACTGAACCGAACATCGAGCAACTCGTTCGACTCGTCGCTTCTGCGTTGCGAGATTTTGAGATGTTTTTTTCCAGAAATTATTCCCGAATTCTCCCACGGGATTCCTCCACTTTTTCCACCCGGGAAGCGCCGCGCAGTGATTTGATGAGGACAGCGCGAGATTCATGCTTCGTCTCCCCGGAACTGGAGATCGCTCTTGACGACATTCAAGCAGGTTCGAGCGAGGACGGTGAGACGGTAACCCGCATGAGATATTTTCAGTACCCAGGACTCTTGCCGCAGGGCTCTCTTTGGTACGGAGATATCCACTCGATCCCGAAAACCCGGCGTCTTTTACGATTGAGAATTTCGTCAGCTCGGATGCCGAGCGCCGCACAGTGGAGCGCTCATCGATGTTTGAACCTGAGAGGGGGAGCGCACTACATTGAATATCACTCTGGAACTGAATCCGGGACTGGTCGTTCAGGTCGTTCCCGCGCTAGATACCCGTCCCTATCAGAGGATGAGTTTGATGGTCCCCAAGACGCGCAGAGACTTGGAGGCCGCGGTGCTTACTCGTTCAGGAGTCGGAATTCTTCGACGTTTGACGAAGGCGTGCCCCATCGACTCGTCCCATTTGGATGATGAGGATTTGGAGAACTCTGTTCTTCACCAATTCTGCAACCCCCGAGTAGGTGTGACAATAATTATTTATATGCGAAGTGACAATGAGTCGTCGCAGTCTCGGACCTCAACCCCGCCTCGACGGCTGTGAGCAAGCAAGGGCCCCGCGAGGCACAGCATCCGATTGAGACTATCGCGTCAGCTCCGCGAAATTACTGCCGCGCTGGATTGTCAAGATGATTCACTGCGAGAAAGTCGAATATTTAGGTGGTTTTGGAAGCTGGTGCAATCAGAACGTTGTGAGGATCTCAGAGTCCTTGGTCACTACGGATTCCAGCTCGAAGACTTATCCCCATTCATTTCCCATCGAGCTCTCGACATAACGGCGTTTCTTCCAATTAGCGAAACACTCCGACTCATCTGCGTCTTATCATCTCGCGTCTCAGGGATGGAGAGCTCCTCCGAAAATCGCAGAGATTGCATCACCAGAGTATCGGGGTCATCGGGGTCGATTACTTAGCGAACAGGTACTAAGGGAATGCCTGGACTCGGATCACTGTTTTGAGTCTGTGATGGAACGTTGTGGATTATCATGAAGAAATTCTCGAGATTTGGGAAGTCGGGGAAATCTTCGTTCGTTCGCGCGAGCTTTTTCGTTCTGTTGCATTGATTTCCAATGAGCGGGAAGGTTATTGGAGAAACACAAGATACGAAGCCAGTCTACCATGTCCACCGATCCCTTGTCGTATTCGCAGTCCATCTGTGTCCCGGAGTGAATCTACAAATCCAGTAGCTCGGGGAACAATTCAAATTGCGCCTTGCGCCTCTCCTTCCGCGACTGCCGGGCCTTGATGCTGAGGGCGGAATCGCGTTGAACGGAAGCGTGAAGGTTCGAATCCCAACTGACGATGACGGTTCATTCCCAGCGGCTCGAAACAGATGAGTCTTAAGCCCAGCTCCACGGAAGTCGAGGTGTCTCATCATTCGAGGATTCGGGGAACGCAATGTGAGTGGGCTGATTCACTGGGAACCCTTTCTCGAATCGTCAGGGCGTCTCAGGCCAAAATCAGATCCGTGGTAGCAGAGCCGTGGTACCAACCCCATGCACGAAGTGGACTCTCCGTAGAACACCGTATGGAATTGAAATTAGGGAGAGAGGCGGAAATCAAGGGAAATAGCGCTGATGAATCGGAAGCCCACCGGTTCGATCATTATCGGCATCTTCCCCCAAGGTGTATTGGCTCCTTCGCCCCTTCTTCTGACATAGGTCTTGATCGGACAGAGAAAACCTCCTGGAAACAGTCGATATACGTCGTTCGACGCAGCTTCGGGCGTCTGTGGGTGTTCTACTTGAAGAGAAAGGTGACGGTAATGCGTATTATCGATCATCGATCACCAGACATAACTCGATAAGGGAATCTGATGTCGTCGGAAACGATTTCTTCGGTCGAGATATGACCGCTCCGTGCGCATCGTTGGACGAATTGACTCGATTTCAGGACATTGAGATATCCTGCGGATACCATGCACACGCGGAGCAAGACGGGGGAAGAGAGATGAGAAAAATCCTCGGATAATTATCGCTCCAATCATGTGGAGAAAACCCGGATCCTCCCTCGTGTGGGAATAACTGGAGTTTCCTAATCCGAGGAGAGAAGATGGAATCTCCGACTCTACGCACGTGAGTTCCCAACGAAGAGCTAGGAGTAAAATCATACTGCTTGCCTCCATCGAGCATCGCTAATTCCGCTGCGCATCCTCCCGTCGGGCCTATACGTGAAGAGTGCTGGCTCGTTCCGGAACTGCCAGTCACTCGAAGGGCTCTAGCCGGAACTTGACTGATTGACGCTTCTTGGAATTCTGAGTTCAACTCCTGACGGGAATCGGACCATTGGGATCTCGATGACCTCAGATTCCTCCTTCTCACCGGTCAGGCTCTGATGCGGGCCCAGAAACCATGGTGCTGTGAGGAGTTCCCACGATTGTTGCAACTCCGTTATCCATGAGCGGAAAGCCTAGAATTGTTCTAAAGCCTAATCAGATTTTGGGATCACTCATTTCTAAGCCCGGTTGGAGTGGCTCTTCAGTGCTCAAGAATGAGCCCCTCGGAGAAGTAGGCGAATGACCGTCGGTCTCGGGGGATGCACAGCGCTGAGGGAGGTCCCTCGCGGTTTTTCCAATTTTTTGCAAAGGAGAGCCGGAACGATATTGCAATCCGTAGGGCGAAGATTCAACCCTGATTCAAACGTTCCCGCGCCGATCCATATCGATGCGCCGCGCTTTAGATCTTGGCTCTGTCGTCGCTGGCAACGCGGCTCTCGCTGATAGTTGATCAGATGTTCCGCCGCAGGTCCGCCCTGAGTGGTCTCGATGTCTGCGTGATTGAGATAGCCGCGGCTGACGCGGGATCGAAATTAGGCCCGTCGGTTAGAGGCCTGAAGGCCCGCATCGCTCGTCGAAATGCCGCCTCCCGCCGTCGGGACAGCGGGGCCGACCAACGCGTCGAGCCCCGCAGCGGTGGTGTTAACAACAACAGCGGGCGTAGGTGGTTCGACTGGCGTAAACACAGCTCCTCCGTTGGTTGGAGGTTCGACATTAGCTGCTCACGGAAACCCACAAACACCCACAACGACTCAACTGACGACAGCGGCCGGGCAAAATGCCAGCGCGCGTAAAAAAACATCGTTCCAGATCACGTCGGTGAAAGTGCATGACGGAGTGCACGACAGGGATGAGACAGATGTCTCAGGCGGCCTTGTGTCTGATGTGGAACACGGACCTCATAACGGAGACGCAATTACGCCTCACGATCATAAGGTACGTAATCGTAGGTCCTCCCATGGAGCGTGATCGTCGAGTCGGTCCGTGTTTGTCGTGTGCCCACTGTCTTCGAACGAGTGTTTTCATCGCTAGACGACGAGGGTCAGTCAATGAGGAGCCGCATGCGTGCTGTGGAACTGCCTGTCTGCTTCGCATTAACGAGGTCTGAGTACCGAGAGGGTGATCGCAAGACTCTTTCGAATATCAGCCGTCCTGGAACGCGTGTGCCCTCCCGTCGTCATGTCTGAATTCATTGACATCTCTGGATTTCACGAATAATTTCTCTCTTCTGTGACTGGGCTGTATTTGTCACTTTTTCGGGTGAGGGTGGCTGTCGAACATCCGTAGTGGTTGATTTCGCCGCTCGGGACTGCCTGCTTTATAATGACGACTGACGAATGAATAGCTGCGAAGTCGTGCTCCCTTCTGTCGAAGTTCGCTTGCCCATGGCTCGCTAGCTGTCGTGTCTGGGTTGTGATTTCGTCTATGGTGACGCCTTGTGGCTGCGACGCCACTACTATTCGAGAGCTGCCCGCCGCCGCCGCCACCGCCAGTTCGGCGCCGAGATACAGCAGACTGTAGTCAGTCTGTAGTCAGTCGGTCGTTTGGTCTCTGATTAATCAGGTGGTCAGTCTGATGGCAATTAGATTCATCAATTGGTCATTCATCGATGAAGCTTCCCGAAATCTGATCGATGCACTCGTTCTCTCTCCGAGAGCTTTATCGAGCGAGATTTTTTATAGAGCCAACTCAAAGAAAACCGAAAACGTCATTGTCCATACGGATCTGCTCGAAGACGGGGTTTGAACTGGCTTCGTGGCATTAATTCCCCAGCTTGTCCCCGATCCATGGCTCTCGACGACTTAGGACCTGACAGAGAGCATCAACAGGACGAGAGGGACAATGTTGGCATGGCGATTTCCATCACGAGCACCACCAGCAGCCATATCGTTCCCGCAGACCTGGAAGCCCGCATCGGACGCGGGTGTCCTTATTATTCCGCTTTGCGATCTCAGTAGACGGACAATGTCCAATGCACGGCTAAGCTCGCTGTCGGCGTCAAAGAGGCAGGACTTCGATTCTATGGAATTCCACGATGGTCCTGATTTATTTTGAGGACAAATTCCGGGATCCAGGCAGGAGATCTTCTGCTCGACGGAATGATTTTCGGGCGAGAAGAGCATAATAATTTACATACCGCCGCCGCTTACGCACTCGCTGTCTAAACAAAGCGAGCAAAGCTCGGGATGACAAACTGTGATGATATTTAAGCCGCTGGTTCAGGAACGATAAGTGAAGGCTCACTCGATCGCTTTTCATATCTCATCGACTTCCCGGGAGGAATACGTAATTTTAGAGCGGTGGCTCGCTTAATAGACAGCCAAGCGTCGGGGGCCAGATCATGTATGTTGTCTTAGGCGGTCATACAAGTTGGGAATGACTTCCAGGGAGGCCCCGTAAAGAAGCATTCGATAACTGATCCCCAAGTCGTAGCTGAACAGTGGAGTAGACGGTTCAAGGTTGTGAAGATACCCTTCACTGAACCTTTCAAACGAGGGAGATGGACTTGTCAAGACTTCTTCGACCCCCCAGAACCGAAACAAGAAGACAAACCAGTTCAAAACCAAGTAAGTTCATGAATTTCCATTTCACGACAATTCAATCATTGTATCAGGAAAACCGTCGGTCGAATAATCGAATTCAGACATGCGTCCTGTAGCATCCAGTCGTACGTCTTCTATTCGTATTAATCATCCCGAAGTTGACGAGTCTCTTTTTTCTCAGGCTAACACGAGTCCTGGGGAAGGTGAAGCATCTCTATCGGAATCCGCGGGTGTGGCAGATGCTCAGGTAAAATTTCATCTTTTTCGCTTAAACTTGCGGCGTTCGTCCAAGCCTCAAGCTCAAGTCTGTACCCGGTGATTTCCAACTGTGGAACTGAAAACTCGATCCTGATATTCGTCGTTTCATTGTAGGCGAAAGATGGGACAGGGGGAGTGCCCGGTTCGGGAGCCACACCAGAAGAGTCGCAGCCTAGTCATAGTGTTGGAGGGTCGATTCTCACTCCAGCGCCTACGCAAACACCAGCTCCCACACCCCAAGGCCAGGAGCCCAACTCCACGGCAGATGGGTGAGTTCCTCTTTAGATCCCAGAAAAGAGAGTCACCCGAGAGGATTTCTCGCGGACCTGGTCCCACAGCTGATCATCCTTCATGAGAGCTGGGAGACTTCCTCGACATGAGGAATCCTGGGTCTCGTGCTGGCGTCACTGGCGTCGCCGGCTTCGCCTTCCCGCCCTCTCGGATCGAATCGGGTTTAGATATTCCCGTAACTTCCATTCTTGGAGTCGGCACAGGGAATTTGACGGGATAGTTTCTGCGCGGTATTACGGCGTCAAGATCTTGGTCCCATTCAGGAAATTCGTCTCCGTAGAGCGATCGAAGATATCCGGGTGGATCGACGAGCGAGGAGGCCGATATGAAACAATAATGTTATGATTAGAGATCTCCACAAAGCAAGGCGCTTCGTTCAGCGATAGCCCCCATTTGAGAATGCTTTTTTTGCTGGAAATTCTCAATGTGCGTTCTGTGTCGGAGTGATATATGATCGAGTGGAGCACAAATTGTTTCCATCGACTAAGATGCATAGAACATTGCCGCTGGCGTTCGAGCAAACGGTGACTGACTTAAGATGACTCATCCAAGGCCACACAATCCGTAGTGTTCCCCAATGTTTCACTGCCGCCGTGTTCTGCTCGCCGCTTCCTTCGGCGCAGAATTCTCTCATCCTGGAAATTCAGATCCGAGAGTGATTCTTCGAACCTCGTGTTCTCGGCGGGGACGATATATGTACATGCTATCATCGAGCGTCTCGCCTACTTTTCCTTTCCGCTGCGAATTCGCTACTGATTTTCAATTTGCTACTGCGAATTCGCTAAGGTGCTATGACAATTCGCTGACTCGACCCGAGGAAATATATGACAGCTGTCCGTGGACCCTACTACGGTTCAGCCCACATCGAGGTTCTCATCCCTGATGAGCGATGGATCGCCAGAAAGTTTGCAGGGGTGGATCTCGATACGTTCGTTGAGTCGTGGAGGGACGATGCACCGAGGCGATCTTCACGGACATCTACGCTTTTGGGGACGTAGCTAATTCCATGGACGGTTCTAGCGGATGCGGATTACGTAATTTTCGAAAGATAAACTTCAATTTGGGAGTTTTCCAAGAACGCACTTCATCTCCGGCCCGAGGAACGGGGTAATTCCAGGTACCCGGAATGCTGTGCGGCGGAAAGTAATCCCTTCCGGAATAGCCGAGAATTTTTTTTTAACGTCTGAACTTCGAGGAGCGGTCCGCGCCACTTTCTATCGGCCAGTGTATTGCTCAGGCTATCGATTGGCGACGATCGACTTTGAATAATCCCCAGAAAGACCGTCGATGGTTCGAGTCCGCTTCGAAATCGGAATGAGGCGCAGTGTGATCTGTGGATGTTCCCCTGCAGAGTTTAGCGTAGTTAATAGAAGATTACAGTTGTGGTCCATTCAGAACGACAGCACATGTTGATGACGACGGTGATTTTGGCAGTGAATCGAACTAGTATCGAGATCGTGTATCATCTCTACGCGGAAACGAGACCGACCTCGCGGAGGCTCGCGGGATCCGTTCTCCCTCAGTCTGGCGTTTGCTTCCCCTGATCGCCATCAGGAGGTCGATCGTCTCTGCGGTGTCTATCGATTTGCCCGTTTTTTCCAAGACGAGCGCGACCGGAGTCTTCATCAATGAGCGAATTACGTGCAATCGCGCACTCCCTACCGTAGCATCTAACAACTCCGGTGTCCTCTCCAAAACACTCTCTCGTCGACGCAAGTGAGCTGCCGTTGGCACCCAGACAGAGAAAGGTGCGATCCTGTGCCTGTTACTGTGTGCTGGCGTCCATGTCCCCGTACCGACTGGAAGAAACGCGTTGAAACGGAGTATGGTGCGCTGTATTTCGAAGAGCTACAGTCATGGTTCCTCGTTCCACTGCAAATCATGCAGGTATGACAAGGGATCGATGTCCGGGCATATCCGAGCGCAAAACTGGAATCTGCCTGCATGCAGCGGAAACTCTCCCGTCGAGATTTTCTCGCGCGGGGTGCTGGTCGCCTTGAGGTGTTTCTCAGCTTGGAACGCCGGTAGATGCTAGCTAGTGTAGTTGCGCCGGTGGATCCGTTGGATCGCGTAAGCGCTTCAGCCAACCGATGCGTTGATAAAAGTTAATCTGTAGCGACCAAGGTTGATCATGCCAACCTCGTCGTTATGATGATGCCCGTAATGAATTATTGGAAGCTTTTCCTGTTTTTCTAGTCTGTCCCTTCCTGTGAGACCGCTCTGCGAATGGGCGCGCTTGTCGGGTGCTGCAATGTACCTGTCCAGCAGCGCGAATGTCTTCAAATTTCTCTCTCCGAGGCGGATCTGTCGAGAATTCCGCGAGACTCTCGAGATTTTCGCTCATCTTCGCCTCGCGGAATTATCGGAAGATGCGAAAATCTGGAATAGCAGCTCCGATCGACTCTTATCAATCAATCACTTCCGCTCCAACTCTATTCTCGATTTCGTGAAATGTACGCTGCCTTTTGAGAGGCTCTACGAGTGTCTCGAACGAAATGAATTACTCCTGACGGGGAATAACGGGCTCGAATTCACGGTGCACAGGTGTTCGGCTAGGATTGGTCGGCCGGTGGCTCGAATTCTGTGCAGCCCGAAAATTAAAGACCCCGAAGCTGCCCGGATCGGGAAACTGTCAGCATTTCACCTCCAGCTCCGCCCGAACATTTCTTACGTCAAGGTTATTCGCGGCGGGATTCTCCAACGGCCGTATTTATGATTTCCGAGACTGTTCCAAGTGGAACATATGTATATCGATTCTTCAGCCGTGCGCTCTGGCTCTCCAATGTCCCACCAGCTGTCTTGGAGCGGATACCATCGGCTTCTACGGGCTCGATTGCGAATGATCTCATGGTCCACTGATAAGAAACTTCTCGCCGTAGTTTCCATTGATGGATGGCTGGCTGATCTTGAGAAGGTGTCGAAGCCATTCACGGCGATGAATTTAGGAATTCAGTCACTTCCTCTCCACCGGGATTCTCTTGCAGCGCTTCGCGCTCCGACATAATCAACTTTCTATAGTAGTAGATCACAGCTGCTCACTTGATCGTTGGCAGGTTACGAATTCTGTCTCCACCGAAAATTGTTATTGAGCTTTCGGGGCCGACGGGGACTCCATTCACTCCCCGACTGAATCGCTCCCGGAGTTCCCCTCATCTGGAAAAAGATTTCGCGCCTCAACATCCCAAACAGAGGAAGGTCTCAGCGCCCCTGCCAGATACAGTCAGGTCTCTCTTCATTTCTTCGAAGTACTCAGGCTCTTGGGCTAGCTTCCGTTCTCCTTCGCCTTTCTTCCGTCTATCTTGAGAAGCTGATGCATCTCGATGGGGCACTTTATCTCTCTCCCTCGCTTGTTCAGTCTGAGGAGGACTCTCACGATCGCTGTATCTGGCGTCGTCTGGAGGCCCTTGCCGCAACTCTATCCGAGGGGCTGAAATCAGAGCCTGGAGAAGTACGAAAAAGCTGCGCATTCGAATATGGCTTGGACGGTTCAGCACGAAATCGAAGTCAAGGGTGCTGCGGACCGTGTGCGGGTCGAATAATAATCGATGAGCTTCCGTATTTTGTCCTCTGTCTTTTTGGGCACCGTGAGATGGAGCTTGGGAACCGTGGACCGGCTATGGGAATAACTCGCGATACCTCCACTCCCCAGCGATCAAGAACCAATCACTAACGCCCTGGAAACCCCTAATTAAATGCATAAAATTTCGGAAAGCGTCGCGCTCGTTCGGAAACCTCCATTGTTTCTTGATTTTATTCGCCGTTCCGTTCGGTGTGCTCAACGATCCTTTTTTCCGATCCCCAGCAACTATTCGGCATGCGGAGCAGGAGGAATCGACAACAAAATCGAACAGGCAATGGACCTGGTCAAAAGTCATCTCATGTTCGCCGTTCGAGAAGAGGTAAGCCCTTTCCAGTGAACGGACTCGATTCCGTGAATTATTATTCCTCTCTCGCGGGACAAAATCCGCTCCATGGGGTAAAGTTCGGCTGATGGGCGCTTCTGAAGCTTTTCGATCTCCGATTACAGGTGGACGTCTTGCGGGAAAAGATCACGGAGTTGAATGAGAAGAATGAGCAGTTGTTGCAAGAGAATCAGCTTTTGAAATCGCTGCTGACGCCGGAGCTCGCGCAAAGATTCTCAGCCATGCAGCACCGGACAGCTCAACGGCCTGCGCAAGCAGCCCCGAACTCTCTGCCGTCGTCGCAGAGTACGCCTAGAACGGCGCCGTCGTTGGCCGCCTTCGGGGTACCGGGACGGCCTGCTACCCCAGTCGGGACTTTACCTTCTGGGTCGGGAACGAGCGGTCCCGTCCCACCGACAACGATAGCCACTATGGTGGGAACGCCGGTCGGAGGTCCGGCAAAAACAACGAATCCTCCGGGGGCGGCCGCTGCAACGTCCGGAATGACGAACGCCTCGTCACCGAGTGCGCTGCATCCAGCAACGAGCTTACCGGCGACTTTAGCGAGTGCGGCGGCGCCCAGTCATCAGGGTACTCCTTCGAAAGAAGCGACACCACCCGCCGGCAGCACGATAAAGCAGTAGCGACTGGCCAAGCTAGGATGTTCAAATGCTCCTGTTGCTACACTCCTTCTTCGGACTCTAGTTTCCCCTGACCGGCCAAATGTTTGAGCGACCGAACGACCGACCCCTGAAGACCAACCGACCGTCTGACCGATCGATTGATGGATCGACCGAACACGAATTGAGCCACCGACCGAGCGTAACACCGTGAGAAAATCGGTGGGCTCTGCGGGGGAAATTTCGTAAATAAAATCGAGAGGGATTGCCTGAAAAAGTTCAGCCGAAGGGACGAACGTCAAAATACGGCTTGGTGGGGCACATCTTCGCGGTGGGCATCTTATGCATTCGAATCCGTTCTCTTATCGATCGATCGGTCGGTCGGTCGACGGATAGGTGAGAGGGACTTTCGTCGATATCGGTCGGTGCTCGCACTTGCAGACCGGTCTCGGGGGCTGGTCCCGTATCCTTCTGCACCAAGAGTGGCGGGCCCTATGGTGCGCTTGTGAGAGCTTTATAGAGGACGCAGACAGACGAAATTGAGATACAGAAGAGAAGATATTGGTTTTTTGTAGACTGGGTACGATGATGATCATAACTTCGCTGTGTGGTGGCGCGTGAAAGTGGAGGATGAATGCGATTAGCGAGAAAGCGACTGTAGGAACATGAGATGAATGGAGGAAAGCGGGATTTGAAGCGGACAGACTTCTTTACGGTGGCCACAGTAATCGCGAGGACGAGACGTGAGAGGGGGAAAATGGTGGGGGCCGAAAAGGAATTTAACGTGAGAAAGAGGAAGCGAGCAATGATGTTCGTACAGGATGAGTCGCGTTGTTGACGATGATGATGATAATTGAGGTGGAAATACGACAGGGATTTCGCCGAACTTATCTTCTACGATTGCGGCGGAAGCTATGATAGGAATGGAGACGATCACGACGACGACTAAGCGAATTGATTATTGAAATGAACACATGAGAGAGAGGCGATTTAGAGGAATAAGGATAAGAAAATGGACCGTCGAACAGATGAACGGATAAATTGGAGAGGATCAAATTACGAGCTGCTGAAGATAAATCCGCACTCGTAGAGCTCTCCAAACGATCTTTAATCCAACCGCAGAATGTTAAGCCTTTCACCCTTGAAACAACGGTTATTGTAAATATATAGATCGATGCTACTGAGAAGCTACTCGTCTCCTTTCCTTTCATTCAAATTCTCGGGAACCTCGAGATGTGGCGTCGTGGGTCGGTCTTTTTTCTCGAATTCAAGGGGTTGAGGATAGAGAGTTGAGAAGATTTCCGCCCCACAACGCATTTGGTCAGCTTCGAGAGAAAATGTTCCAAGGGAGGCGAATATGGCCTCCCCACCTCCCTATCCTTTTTCTGTTTCATTGTTCACGTTTCCAGCAGGACCGGTCGAATACGTCGCTTCTGAAACCTTTGACCAAAGACTTCAGCTTCTTCTTCACCGAAGTTCTCCCTTCAATTCGAGTTTTATCCCGAGTTCCGTCCGTTTTTTTCTCGTCCGAAGTTTTGCAGCCGACGGCTCATTCGAATGCTCGCTGACGCAGCCGACCTACCGGTAGGCTGCGAGCATCGAGGGGAGACGGGGGTGCCGACCGGAGCCCCGATGCCCGGCGAACGGGACCGGGAAGGTTTATATTCAAGACTCTCAATCGACCATTGCGGAGGATGCGAATTTCCTCTGACCAACCCAACTGGAGCACATAGCGGAGTTCAACGTCCTCAAGCTTCACCTGAGATATTCCTTCCACGGAACCCGTCTACGAGGGCTAATAATGTATACGGGCGAACTATCGCCGAAAACAGGTGCAGGCGGCAGGTATGGCACCTTTTCGCATGGGAAGCTTCCTCCTTATCGATGGCTCGCGTTCGATACGTTCTCAAGAGACGAATCGCGCATTGGTGGACTTCAGGCTCGAGGATCTCGAGCCGCGCGGGTTAACCGGGAGAGGGGGGGAATCACTAACCGGGCTCGCTGACTGCGCAACCTATGATTGAGAGTTGTGCTTTCCCGCGATAAGAAACTCAATGTATCCGTTTACTTGCATGTCGCGTGAAGCTCCGGTCTCCGGATAGTCGTCTGTCTCCGATTTCGCGGTATAATTCCCCATCAGGGAAAGTATGGGAAAAATCCTTCATACATTGACGATCCCTGGATGTGCAGACCCATCATGCTGTATGTGTTCAAGAATTTGGCTGATGTGCAGGTGGGGATGGTATTTTTTTACAGTTTCAGAGAAATTCGGACTTTGGTACCTCGCCTTGTTTGAAGAATCATTCGGTTCGTCCGTGGTCGCAATCATTCTCTCAAGGGCTCTGGATTCTGAGTATTGAACTCCGATGATTTTCGGTCGCCTCATCCAGAGATTCCTCGGAGTTCCTGAAGCCGCGCTAAGCTGGCTGATTGCGTCCTCGGCCATTATTGCCCGCTCTCTTGCCGAAAAATAGGTTCTTCGCATTCATTTAAAGTCGTAGATTTATTTACACACAAACACACGTCTTCGTCATCACTATCAAAACCTAACAGTGGTTACTCGGTACTGGTTACTCAGAGTCGATAAACGTGTGGTCGGCGCTAGATATTCGGCTGCATTTCGTTATATAATATTAAGATCATTTAAAATTGAGATTGATCTCTTTCGATTCTTCCGACCCTCCATCTCAACACATTTCTGTATGTACAGCTCAGTCTACTCGGTCTTGACGCCTCGGTTACCGACGGGGTATTTTCCTCTCTCAGTACGACGACCGAACAGATGTTCCGAGAACTGGGCACCATCTACGCCGCTACCACCGCCAGTGGAAGAGATCAGCTGCAGGGAGAAAAGAGAACTTTGTAAGACAACTGTTCCGGGAAAAATATCCATAAATGAAGCTCCGCAGTCGGCGGAGCCGCAGATCCGGGATGATGGAATAATTCGTAAGGTGGACTCCCTCCTCAATCACCTGGAATCCGCTGTTGAGCAGCCTCTCGATGGCTTGCAACGAGTTGAGTTTGGCGAATCCGTTCAACGGAAAGCGAAGAACCTGTTTCGAGTCTTGGGAACTCCAGGTCGCCGCCGACGCGGAGCTCTCAATAGGTTGGAGAACTTCGGGGAATACTTCCTCCATGAGAGCGCGGTCGCCAGAAATCAGAACACGTTCACCTGAAGAAGCGAGGAGCTCGATTAGATCTGTGTTGGAACAAAGTAACGAGAGTGCCTCTTGACAGGATGAGCGGCAGATGCCTTTTCATGAGTCGCGTCGTCAATCCATCCAAAGATCAAACGAGATTTCGAAGAAGTCTGGAGACAAAATCTCGCTCAGGAAGGAAAATCAACTCACCTAGATCGGGCGAAATGCTGAGCGAGAGACATTGGTAGCTGTCTTCTTTCGGTTCTTCGAGCCGAGCTTTTTCAAGTCGCGCTCTTTTCGGATTCACGGGAGTCCCGTTCTGTTTCAAAGAACTCCCATTGCTCACAGCCGGATATTCTTGAAGCGCTCTATTCAGTGAGGGTATATCGTAATAACGGGCTTCTTCGATCAGCAGAGCTGTTTCGGAAAAGTCTGTCGGCAAAACCAGGCTGCCGGTGCGTAAGAAGTTCAGAATGTGACGGAACATCTTTCCGTCCCGATCGATGAAGTAGTGCTGCTTCAACGAGTCTAGAACAATGGGAATGGATCCGTTGAACAGCTTACCGAGCCGAGATTCGGGATACCTGGAGTAAAAACCGTGCTTTTAGTAACGAACAATAAAAGCCAGACGAAACAACCATCAAACGATGGATCGATGACTGGCCCGGCATCGGCGAAAGAGTTCGTGCTCGATGATGTCGATGCTCATCGCGAGACTCGTTCGTACATAGTTTTCACCCCGTTCTCCACCGCATCCGAGCCGGATGTTTACCATGATGCTCCCGATAGCAACTCTTGAATTAAGAGCACTCGAGGAAACCGATTGAAGGCTTTTTAATGTCTTGTGGATCTACGTTCAGTCGGTGTGGAGTGACACGAGAGACCCTTCGTCGCTATCGCCGATGCTGTCGCCGCTGCCACTGGAGATGAGAGCGTCTTAAGGGCGTTAAACACGAAAAAACGAAGAGCTACGCCCCGAATTAATTCCTTCACTTCCTCGGCTTTTTCATGATTCTCATCTCTTCTTCTCAAAATCAATGGAAGTATGCTCAACTTCAGTTTTTATCCTCCTATCTACCTACCCTCCGAAACAACGGAGGCGTGACAGCTAGAACAATTGATTGGTTTAAATTTATAAATCTTGGAGAAGATAAAAAATGGCTGTGTACCGGGACCCTTGGAATTCCTGCGCCGTTTACGAAAATCGTAGTTTTTGCAAATGGGAAATCGGTGCATCCGATTCTCGGGTGAATTCTCGATTCTTTTGCACTCCTTGGTGTCGGTATTCTTCACTCCAGGAATGCATGTAGAAATGGATCCGTGATAACGGAATTAGTGTCAGAACACGACCCAAATCGATGAGTTTCCAAAGGTTTCTCCGATCGGGAGCTCAAGAGTATCGGATCCAGGGCTCTTTCGATGAAAAGAGAACTTCCCCCACTCGTCTCACGAGTCTCAGGATTCCGGTAGCCGAAAACGACAGAAAATCTCCTCCCCCTCTCACAGACGCGTTCTACTGACCCGTCGGATGCTGAGTTCGTCGTAAGGTTTGGTAGAGTGCCGCTCATCTGATAAGGACAGAGTTGTTACGAAGCTTCTGTCGCGGCTGATAAACGCACTGTATAATAAAGTCTTAAAACAGTGGGCGGGATGCGGCGGCTGGGTTGACAGATTTCTGTACAGGATAATTATTATTACGGAGCCAACATCGCCAGAATGGAGCTCGCTGTGGATCAGCTAAGGAACGAAGAAGGGGAAGTCTCGGAATCGTATGTGGCTCGCAGCCGAACGTGTCCGGACGTCGCCAAACGTAGGTATGTCAGAACTCGTGATCTGCTCATGGAATCTTCGCCTGCGACCGACCTCTCGGAATCCTCCAGCGGCTCGGAGTCGGGAACCGTTGAGATCATTTATGGGACCCGAGCGTCCCATCATGATTGACATCGGAGAGGTATGTTGCATGATGAGCCAGAATTTCCTCCAAGTACTCGGGGAAAAATAATCCGCTCCCCGACCTGTCGACGAGTGCTACGCTACTTCGGTGCTGTTCCGCCCGCGCGATGGCCAGAATCGAGCCGATAATCATGACAGAGAGTCGATGACGACGGGCTTGATGATCAGGAAGATGAAGAATGAATTGACCGTTCAGTCATCCATATCGTAAAGATTCACCTCGGCCTGCGCCTTCTCTCATACAGCACGAACGCGACCGCCACCGGCTGTGGTAATTACTCGAGCAGAATCCGGCTCAGGGTATCCACCGACGAACGGCGAATCTGTCGCTCGCTCGCAATCAAAATCGAACGGCGTAAGAACGATCGGCAGCACCAATGGCCGACCCGTGCCAAACGTGTGATCGTGAAGACCCATAGTTTTAGTCGTTAATGGTCAGCTCGGGTGTAGTCGTAAGCGGGTTTTATCTCCGAATGTCATATTTCACCAGCCGTGCAGGACCGAAGCTCACATCTGATCTCGGTGAGTTGCCGATCGCTCGCCGGTCCTACGGTTTCCCGAGATGGCGAATCGATCCGGCGACAGGAAGATGGAAACGGCGCGCGGCTTGTCGAGTCACTTTGTAGTTAGTTCTGCCAACCGACGGCCGATCAGCCGGCCGGCCAACCGGCCAACTGACTGACTGACTGGGAGTAGGGGCTACGCAGTGGAACGGCGGCTAGCGAGTCGACAGATGCTTCAGCGTTCTCTATCGATCTACCCACCACTCCGGCGTCGTCAGTGTTATTTAGACAATTTGCAGCTCATGATTTTCTTTCGATAGAGTGAGGTAGTTTGAGGCGCGTAGCGAACGCCGCTGAAGACGATCCTGATTCTGTGGCGTTTTTTTCACTGATTCAAGCGACGCCAGCAACCGTAAAGGCGACGTCAATCTTCCTCGCGTTGATATACTTTCTGCTCCAATCTGCGATCTCAGCCCGGATCGGCTGAGATGGCTGCTCGGAAAGCTAATCCAATCTCAGCCAGCCAGTCGGACACACCCCGCCATCCGATGCTCAGGCATGTTAACACTTAACGAATGAAACGTAATAATTATCACAACATCTGCTAGGACTCCGGAGTTTCGATTCCGTGGCCCGGGACGATGATCTTCGTATTTTCTCACTAGAGTCAGCCATCGTATCGGCTCGCGAGATCGTCGCGATTGTGTCTCTGTGATGGTTCCGGTGGAATTTCTAATCCATCCGCCACGCTGTTGCGTTGTCTCGGAATCGAAGCCATAGAGACGATCTGAGAAGCGTAGGAAATATTAAGGAGGAGCAGTTCCTCCCGAAGTGGAACACTGAAGCGATCGCATCGGTTCGCACGAAATTGTACGTCTCGGAGAAATCGATGCGCTGAAATGCTCGTAAAACATTGTTATCAGCCTCTTCTGTAGCCGTAGGGGCATAAATGGTCATAATAGTGACCGAGACGACTTTCCCGTTGTTCTACTGTTTCTCCTTTTTTTGTACGTATTTCTGCCACGACTTGGGATGGCTCGGCTGACGGCTCTACCGTCCGCTTTCAGTTCCGTAGAGCCGAATGGGACCTCAGGCCCTCATGGTTCTCACGGTCCGAACATTTTGAGCCTCCCTTAAGCCTTACTTAGTTTCGCGCAAATATACAGCTGCTGTGAAAGCAGATGAAAACTTGACAAATCTAAATGAGTCGCTCCTCCGTCGTGCGAAGTGTTTAATTGCCATGTTCTCGTCTTATTTCGGCCGTCGAAAGCCACCGCGCCGTTGACTACGGCTGAGGAATGACATCTTGAACCCACGACCTGCATATTCGTCCCGAGCTCTATAGGATTCGCATAAACGACGTCGCCGAAGGGAGCTGCCACAAACACGAATTCTCAAGCGTATAGCACTGTCGTTCGCAGAGAAGCTATTGGGCATCAGTAATCCGAGTCGGGAACCAATCTGCCGAATGTACTGATCGCTCTTGAAGGCTTGATTTGCGTTGGGTGCTGGCGAGCGGCAGGGAAGACGACACGATTTCACCGATTTTCCCAGAGTTCGGGTTTAATCCCTCAAATAAAAATGCTCCACGGAACGTTTTTGCGTGTAGAGAATGTAAACAACTGATTTATGATCTCCGCGAGAATTCTTGTGTCACGAGATAACGCTGTGGCGCGTGAGTTGAGACCGAGCAAGCACATTCGTTGAGGACCTCTATGTGAAGGGAGAAGCGGGAAAATTAATATTTCCGCTCGCACAATTTGTGTCGCGCGTGTGAAGCGACGCCGACCGACGGTCTGGCTATCGGGGTGCTGGCCCATCGATCCGGATCGAGATCAGATACGACTCCATTCCCGTTGAGGGATTGATGATTCGGGGGGGAATTGAAACATAAGCGAAGTCAGAAGGTACGTCTAATCCCCTAACTCAGTTAGACGACCTGAATAATTTTCAAGTTCACTGGACATTGAGCCCCGAAGTCCGGGTGGGTGTGCTCATTTTTTTTTTATCGTCCAGCCTCGATCTGGAATCATCAGCGTCAGCTCAGGGATGCTTCTCTTCGGGATCGATACGGTATCTACGACGCCCGACGCCGCGACCAGGATATTAGGTGGGAATACTCATCCAGGAGTACTGTAGCTCCGGCGCTGACCACTGATACCTATATTCGAAGAGAACTCGACGACGCATCCGCGCAGATGTCTTTGAAGTGTGACCGGACCGATAGGACAGAACAGACTGCTCAAGCGTTGCCAAATGCGGAATGAAGTTGAGCTGTGTCCCGCCCTCGGGGAAAAAAGCGCAGGAGGAACAAACCGAGCCTCTACTCCATACCAGAGATAAGGCATGAACACACCCCACACAACCTCGCCCGTTGGGAGCTCTTCCCTCGCGGGTCTCGTCCGTCGTAGATACGACAAAAAAATACAGCAAAAACTAACGATGCACCGAATGTGCCAGAGCGTTTTCTCTCTGCCCGCAACGACTACGCTGGATTCCGGCTCTCCTTCCGGTACCTACGGCAGGGTGGGGCCAGAAGATTTTTCGTCAGTCTGAAGATCCAATAAAACTATTTTATTACTCTTCTCTCAACACGGTGGACTTTCTCCCAAGAAAATTGCGAACACCGTCTCTCCCTTGCTCGGCCGGTCAGCGGGCATACGTTCGCTTCTCATGGAAAAATTGACTGAAACACGCATTGACAGCCTCAGCCGAGGGAAGACACCATGAGAAATGGTGATCGGAGTTCGAAAAATTAGCGGTCCTCGTGTAATTAATAAAAATCAAATTAAACTTTAGAAGCGAAAATATCGATTTGATAGGAAACGTTCCTATGTGTACCCGCCTGGCAACGGTCTTCACCGTTCGTCTCCATCAACAAACGTCGACACGTATGAGTCGCCGATCCCTTTGGGATTTTCGTACTTGGTTGAAACGGGAGGGAAATTCAAGTCTGAGGAACGTAGTTATTTGCACGCTCACTCGGGAAACAAATCACTTAGGGATGAGAGTAAGCCAAGGAGATCAGGAAGTTGGGGTGAGACTTCGAAACAAGAGGGAATTTCGAGTTTCGAGCGAACTTTTACGGGTCATGACACTCTGTTCGAGGTTATAGATTCCCCGATAAGCACGTGTCACGCATCAATGATCGGACCTATGACTCCGTACCGACAGCGTGGATCCCGTTTTATTTTTGCCTATAATCAGCTCTTGGGGCTTGGAGCCTGTAAAATATTTGTTCAACGGATAGGAGACAGGAGATAACGAAACTAGAGCAATGTACAGGAATTTGGAAAAATCAGACATAGACTTTGAATAGTAAAGGACCCCGAAAACCTGGCTCATCGCGCAGCTCGTCTGTTTCTGAAATGTGCGATAAACGTTCCCGCGAGCGCCCTTCGCTGTTTACTCGTTCTGGTTTCTCGAGCGACGGACATGTGCGACAGCATTGATGCTGGATATGAAATACTGAGTTGAGCTTGACTACATCAGCAACTCACGTGTAAAAACTAACTTGTGGGCAAGGAACATAAAAAGAGTAGAAGAGAGTCTTGATGAGATCGAGAAGTAGCCCACAAGATAATAATTACTCAGTGACGCACGTGGGAAAGCCTCACAATTAAATAGAAACGCGTCTCTTTCGAAAACTCAATTAAACTCGACTATTTTCTCGGGCTTGTCATTCTCCGGGACGTGCCGCCGGCCGCTGAGAGCCCGTGCGAATGTTCGTGCTCCGGGAGGCGATTTGAACGCAGATGGAGCTTTACCACAAGTTCCTCGAATGCTACTCCTGACAGCTTTCCAAGAAATCGCGCCGAACTTATGGTGAGCGGAATTTATTGCATGGATTCGTCCTCTTCGTCTGTCTTCGTCGAACCACTCTCTTCTAGACCACACTCGAAGAGCGATTCCGCTCGTCTTAATTCATTGCTACCCATCGGGTGCGGAACGAGCCGCTCCCGCCTCCGTCATCGTCGCAGACCACAATGATGTTATGCAAAGTTGATATGCGGGCATCTCCGAAGTGATTCTCAATGATTGCTAATATGCGTAATCGACAACAAGCATGGCGGCTCGCTAGGGAAGTCAGCCAACGCGAAGCTTCCTTCGCTGTGCCCCGATGGATCTGAACAGATATTGGATGAAACCACGGCGAACACCATTCGCACTGCCTGAGGGTGTATCGCAGCCTTTGACCCTTCGGCTCCCCAGTAGGTACGTACAGCTAGTCCGTCGAAGACATACCGGTCCCGCTTAATTCGTGCCTGGTGGGCAAGCGATTTTTCTCTGCTGGCTTTCCTGCTCCTCTCTTCCTCATCAGTCTTAATCCTATGATGAGGGCTGTAAGTTTCTCGCAGACCGCGTCTGGGGCAAGTTTTTTCTCGGCACCCATTCAGGTAATTCATCGGTAACCGAACGAAGGCTCGAGGTTCAGTCACGGAAATGAAACGCGGCTCCAATGAGCGCTTCTGAACTTGATAAGCGCTCGAACAATGCTCGCCGTAGAATGTCTCACTCAGCCCAGTGAGCCAGGACGCTCTTTGAAAGACCGTCATTCGATTACAAAAACAGTACAGAGCCCTGGAGCGACGTGTTGGCAACCGCCCGCAATGCTTGCGGAAATTCCACCCCATCATCTCCGAACTGTTTATGGACATTTGAGCTGGGACTCCAGTGATGCTGTCGTCCTGGCAGTCCTTCACAGCTCGTAGACGAGGTCGAAGGTCGAACGCCACCGGAACTTTTGGTGTCGACATGACTCGAGTTCCAAATGCGCTGACACGCTGCCTGACTCGCTTGACTACATTGAATTACGGACTAGAAGGAGCTTCTTTTCTCAAAATTAACTTTCGCCGGCGTCTTCGAGGCGTCTTGGATCGTCGGCGAAGCGATGCGACACTGAATCTCTGACTGATTATTCGAAGATGGATCGATCCGGTGGGAGTTTCCCGTATCATCGTAGAATCGTTCGCTGATTGATTCTGATGTCCGTCGCCATACCACGGTACCAATTTCCATCAGTGAGCGGAATCGAGAGGCCATAACAATCGATACACGAAGTCCCGATTCTGCGAAAAGTACTCATTTCGGAACTTATGTAATCAGTTCGACACGACCACTACGCACGCGGTGCACAATCCATGATGCTTGTGTTGGGCTGCTGGTTTTGTGATAGTATAAATCCACAACCCGAACTAGGAGCCGAGCGACCGGAGAGGAAAGATTAGTCGTTCTGGAGGAGAAGCCAAAGGCTAAGCTCCTCTTTTCACGGTTGGAGCGGCCACCGAAACCGCACGAAACCGCTGCAAATCTTCATGCGACCCGTTTTCCTTGACTTTTTGATCAGCCCGAAATCCATGCGTCGATATTCGACCCGCAGAGGTCAAGCCACCCGTCGTCACCCTGCAGCAATGACTTTTGCTCGAAAGCGTCGTCTTTGATGTCGTGTTTTTCCTTCCCCCCGCCATCATCAGGCGAATCATCCCGGGCATCAACATGGGCGAAACGATGAGGATGTTCATCAGCATTTTATCATTGTTGTTATCCTCCCGTGTCCGCAACTCGAAACACCACCATCCGTATGCCGAGAACCAACCGCTGAAAGGTAGACCGTGCTGGAAAGGCAGACAGGCAAGCCGGTCATCAGAAGTGGAGTACTGAAAACGTAACGCCCATGTCTTCAAGTCAAAAGAGCTACGATCAGGCAGGGAGCAATGTCGTGATCGCTCCGACGAGCGGTCGCGCACCGACGTCGTTTCTGAACCTCGCTTCAGGATCGCTTCGCATGAGGACCCAAGTATATTGAGCATCACTCTCCACTCTCATCCAGCCGCCTCACGAGGTTGGCTTCGACGTTACTTCCCCGTTTACTGCTCTACACGTTCGTTCTATTGTTTGACGCCTAAACGGAATTTTCGCTTCTTGAAGAAAGGAAGCTCTTCTTGGCTCAGTTTACAACTACTGATTCCAACCCACAGCACGAGGCCAGAATGAGATGACCATTGTGCCCGATATACCGCCGCAGATGGTTATAAACTATTCGGTGCTCCCAGTGACGCCCGGACAGCTGCTGAATGCTCTAATTTTCGAGAGAGGAAGACGGGAGACCCCTGTCATCTCTGTCGAGATATAAGGCCAGTTTATGGGACGTAAGGAGTCGGAAGGGAAAAAATCGCGATCGAAGGGGGAACTCGGAAAACCTAGGGAAATTGGGAAGGTTCCAATCCAGGAGAGCCCACGCCTATGGGGGGTATGAGGGTTGGGGGGAATTTCTCCCCTCTGTACAGAAGATCTGATCATCATCCCTACGTTGCAATAATCTCCCACCTTCTGGCGATGCAACCTGATTTTTCGATCGGGGACAGACAAGTTTACTCACTTGGTTAGGGTTTCTAGGCTCGAAGTGTATATCGTCCCTCCGACATCGATGTGCACCGGAGCTGTATAACGCGAAGCCGCGGCCACGCACGGGATTCCTGAGATTTTGGGAGGTTGAGCCGCCGACGAATACATGTCAGGAGGGGAGCCACCGGACGACCCTACCTGAGCCGCTTGCGCGTTCGCGTGGGCTGCTGCGGCTGCCGCCATCTGGAGAATCTTCGGATCCATCCATGGGTTTCTGGAACAATTATGGCGCTGTTTATGGATCAGGTGGAGCTTCACGAATGAGCATTCCCTTCTAGAGCCTCACGCAAACACTTTTCGAACACTGCCGACCAATCAGTCGTCGAGCGACTTCAATTCGGCTGCAATTGATGCTGTCGTCGTCCATTCGATTCGGCCGCGCCGTCGCTTCTTACCGCTGCGGCGGCTGCTGCTGCTGCTACTACTACTTGTCTTAATCACCACTCTGCCAATAAACAAACTCGGCCATTGGAATGGGAGCCACTCGATGTAATTGAAGCTCGAATCAATTCTAGAGAGAAAGCGGGATTGCTTCAAGCGGGCGGACGACGTTGCCAACAACTAGCTGATGAAGTCATACAATCATCAGAGCAGAGGAACCGTCAAGTGAAGAACGGGGACGACGACACGAGGGATCTCAGTCGACTTCGGAAACTGCCGATCAGCCTCGAGAAGGCTAATAGCTGATTTGGTCATCGGGAACGATTAGCTGAGTTATTAATGAGCCTTGCCGGGCTGTCTAACAATCCACCCAGGTGTAATGAAGTTGTCCGAGGTGCGGTACTGACTGTCTGAGTGAGACTTCACCTTAGAAGAACAATCGGGTCCGAAGATACAGCCAAGACAGCTCAACTCCTCAGGGTGAAAACGAGATGATTGATGCGACCGCTGTACAGGCGAATCCTCGGTCCTCCCTCGATACCGTTTCGGCAGCAGATTAAATTGTGACGACCACGACAAACCGATCCAGCGATCATGCAGGTTGGGATTGAAAAATTGGAGCACGAGGGAGCTCGAGGGAGTCCGAGCGAGCGCCGGATCGCTGTGGGGACCACTCCCGAATTTCGGAGAAAAAGCCGCACCGAAAATTTCGGCTGAAACTACGAGAATTTGGCGCGGGCGCTAGACACATCCTTCTTCCTGGCTCATAGCCATTATCTGTGAGCTACCCTTTGGTCGCTCCTGTCGGGCGACCGATGGGATTGAAAGCGGTTCCATCGGGAGCCACTCGAAAGCCACTCCGATCTCGCGCCCGTGAGCAGCAGTTTGCGGGAATAACCGGAAAACATGTCCTCTCACGATTAATTGCTTCACACCACACTTCTTGTAAGCATAGCTCTGCTCTGAAATGCTCTCACGTCGGGAGCGGCGTAATCTCCTGTGCAGAGGCAGGCTGGAGGAACATTGTGAAGAATAATGCTTTCAGAAAATTCATCTAAGAGGAAATTTTCGGTGCTTGGAGAGCCTATGTGGCGGTCCCCATTGCTTTTGTCAGCTTGCTCGATCCCGCTTCTGCCGCGTAATCTTGGTCTCGCCGTGAGACTCTGGCAAGTCAGGGATTTCCATTCACTAGCTTGATGGATCGGTGAACGACAGGGGAATCTCCAGCCGATTTGAATTTAGTAATTATTGTAAACACGATCTGTCGTCGATGTAGTCGATCTCGCACATCCGATAATCTCATTTAACACTCGCTGAAGCATAATAATCGATGATCTTCGATTTCCTCTCAGGCTCTTTATGCGATGGTTTGACGGAGTAGAAGCGAACGCCGTCGATTTTTTCGAATTTCTGTAGTCGTTGGCCTCTTAATCGGTCAACTCCGAGCGTTTGAGGTAAACGACGCAGCCGATAAACATAGCGGTGCGCGTAGCATTATTTCTACCCGAGCCTTACGGCTCTGTCGGAAGGTCGCATACAAGCGTTGCCATATTTGTTAAATATGAGAAAGCGAGCATTGTTCGAGCGCCGCTACCGTTTTGCTCCCGGTAATTCGTTTCATTGTTATCTCGGCAGTGGACTGAGAAAGTCGCGGTCGCCCCCAGGTGCGACAATTAAGTTTCGGTAAAGGGAGAAGAAATAGAAGCAGTGAATTTAAATCACGATTCCGCCGTGAGCTCAAACTTTCCTCGCTGCTTTCTAGATTCGTTGACGAGACCCCGTTCGCGATGAAACAAAGCGAGCTTTCGTGGTTTACTGCTTGCCGTAAGCGCGCTCTGTCCCCGGTTTACCATTCGAGCCGAAAAACTCCGCTCAGGAACCGAGGGATCAAGGCAGAATATAATTAGATTGGACAACGTCCTGAAGTTCGCTCTCGAGCATGTCAGACGGCAGAATGGTCGTGTCCGACACTTGGTGCCTTCTGGGATCATCCGCTGAGCTCGTCCCCCTCTTCATTTCTGCGGTTCCTCCTTCCGTGAGGTCATCCGTAGGAAAATAATAGTAATGGATCGCCCCTCGCAGTGTGTCAGCATCGGTGTCTATTTTTCTGTAATGAATGCTAGATTCGTCATGAGGATCTTCCCGAATGTAGAAAATGTACCAACCATCACAAGCGAGCTCGATATGAAAATGGGGAATGCCGACCATAGATCATTGTTTGGCGGTGAAATAGCGACTGTTACATGGACGGTCGGACGCCGCTTGAGTATTCCGGACCGGATTCGAAATATCTTGTCAAGGAATAAAAAAAGAACCGAAGCGGATGAAACGGAAAAATCTGTTCCGCAAGGGAGATAGTTTTATCGGCATCGGGAACTCGAGTGTTCCAGAGAAATCCGAGAAAGGAACCCTCGGGATGATCCTTCTTCCGCAAGTCTGCTAGATCAGCGACTGGACGCAAGTCGTGTCTCATGCAGTTCCGACGAGAGTACTTGGCCTTTGTCCAGATATGTATCGGATATTCCGCTACCTAGAAGTCACACCGAAAAATCGACGAAGATCAAGACCGGACCTGTACGGCTTCCGGAGATCAGCCATGGCTTCCGAATACATTTTACCTTCTTTTCTCTTCCGAGGGAGGCGACACCCGGTCTACAAGTCTGAACTGCGACTTCCCTCGTGGTTTTGGAACAGGCAGTGAAGAAGAAATGGAGCCAAAAAAAACTACCAACACGACTACCCTTGCGATGGAAGGAAAATAGTGACGGCGTCCACTTCGTTTCAATTATTTTCTTTCGGCCATCTCTTTAACGACATTGGTCTTGCCGAGGGCTTGACCTTCGGCTCTTTTTTTCCCCATGTTTTTGATGTTTTCGAAAAAAATCGTTCCACTCTGAAATTGAAGCGCTGTCGACCGATTGTCCGTTTCGGCACCGATTTTATCGGAAGAAATTCACAAAATTCACGTCGTCAACGAATTCGATGTTTTTTTCGCAGAATGCTCCGTGTGCAATCTTCCTCACGCGCTCTTGACTCAGGGGGGCGCACGTGAAATTCATACCCGAAGAGGCTCCTCGAGCTGTGTGAAAATAGCGGCAGGAGGCTGAGACCGGAGAACTATTCATCTTGGCGATGGAGCAGATGATTGTTTGGAACGATGGATCGATCGATGGAAGCGGCACACACACCTCACTAATAAGTTCAGACGTTGGCGGAGATGCCTCGCTTTGAGTCGAGCTTCAAGAGTGATCGGATAAGAGTAGGAGTTCCTCGGGGCTCCGCCGAGGGCAATCGATGCTATCGGTGTGCCGTTTTCGCCCCGCGGACATGTGAATATTGTATTAGTCGTGGTGAACGCAGAGCCTTAGGCTCTAGGCGGGCCTGACGTACGAGTGGGAGACGCAGCGTGTGGACTGGGGGAAACGAAACGAGGGTAGCACCTGGAGGGGCATTCGGGAGAGAGTCACTCGGGGCGGAAGACGACGACGGGGGCAGGGGCGATCGTTCCCGGCCTGTGCGCCTCTGGCGACATACTTGCCTGAGTCGACTGAAGAGCGGAAATTGAACGTGTTGCTCTGAAGATGCCCCAAAAAGCAGTCTTGATGCCGCCGGTTCCGAGTATCACACACGTACAACGATTGTGCACACTTCCACATACAGCTCCAGAAATCCTTGGGCGCCGCCCAGGGCGTTCATCGAGCCTAATGTCGTTGCTCAGTATCCGGACTCTGAGAGTCGGTTGCCTGCTCTCTATGGCTCGTGAGGCGAATCGCGAGATTCAATCGCCGCTCCATTGCATCGATTTTCGGCGCGAGATTTTCAATAGAACCATCCGCTCAGGGAAAACGGGAAAATTGAAAAAATTATGACTCGCGAGAGAAGTCTCTGCCAGGTGATGAATCTCGCTCTGAGTGGATCTATTTCCCGCGGAATCACTTTTGAAGGCACTGTAGTTTGAACGATTTACAACGAGCGGCGTATCCGGTCACAGCTTATCGGATATCGGCAACAGAGAGCCATCCCGACAGAGCATCTGATGAGTTATTGAGTGATATTAAAATTACTTAGCAGACTCAATCATATTGGTGCATTGATAGGGAAGCGTAGCAGCTTTTCCAAAACCGTGGGTGTCGTGAGCCGGCCATAAAATCGAGCAGATGCCGTGCCGCTTTAACCCGATCAAGCCGCATCGCGGCAGCGTGAAGGGTTCAGCGGCTTCTGGCAGCGGCTCTGGAAACAAATCATCGATCCTCCGTGTCGATCTGACGAGTCGAGTCGCCTCAGCGATTGAAAACTTGAGAGCCCCGACACCGACGGAGCATACAGAGCCCAAAGGACGGCAGTAAACGGTCGCACCGATAGAAACATCAGCTAGCCTTGGTGGTCCTGCGGTGTGTGATGCCGCCGTCAAAAGCACATGCAATTATTTCGCCGTTTCATCTTTTCGTCGCTACGGCATCTTCCGTCGCTGCCCCTTCCATGATCGACTTGTCGGTATAAGCGACAATCGATGTTCTGCAATATGCATGGTGCCGCGTGGAGAAGCCGCGCCTGAAGGATCGAGCATTGAACGAACTAAGGCGAGTTCTCGAGGGATTCCCAGTCAAAGTCCCGCGTGTGACGATGAGAGCATGAATTCCATTTTCAAGTTTTCGGAGATTTCTGCTATATTCGGGTGATTCGGGAATCGGACCCCCAAGCGAGGAACCCGATCTCGACCATTATGTTTTCCGTGAGCTCTTTATGAGTCTGCCCTCGCCTTCGAGCGGATAGTCGATCTTCCCGTACTGAAGTCGGCTCCCGTGGTTTCAAGGAGGATCGCCAAGATCGCGATGATCTAACAAGTCGATACTCCTACTACCATTGAAGACCGAGCGTGCGTAAAAGCGTGCAGCCGATGAAAGACCCGAAATAATTATCGCTCTTCGCTCTCTGGACATATTGGATCGTGTAATTATAGCCGCTGCCACGGAAATTCCGTTGCAATTTACGGAAGTCTGGGCCAGCTCCATGTTCGGATATCGAGTACTAAGGCACCCGGTTTTCGTCTCGTTCGTCTCATGCTTGCCTCTGTGCGTCAGCCAGGCTCTCCACACCCTTCGTGAACATGCACGCGGTGAAGGATGCTCGTCAGCGATCGAGGATTCCTGGCGCGGCGTCAAGGGACCATTTCTGATTTGCCCAGGGCAATGGGGCAACGAGGATCGGGGTACCCACTGGATCGTGTGGAACGCCAGAAATACCATCTCAGAGAGGTTTGGTAAAGGACGTTGATATTGCCGAAGTTTCTGCCATCTGGAGCTCAATTCAAATGACTAAGGGGAAGGTACAGCACGTACAAGAGAGTTTTTCGACAAACGTACGGTTGTCTTGAGGGCTCGAGCAACATCCCGGATACAGGTGTCCGTGCTCAGATTTCCGCTCGCTTTTTTCTTCAAAATTGCTCTCGGGGATCAAATTATTAAAATGAAGTGATTAAATCTTACCTCGCATCGAGGGATCGGAGGCAGGAATTATCTCTCATCATTCATCTACTGACGACTAAAAAACTTCATTCGTCGTCCCCGTCTCAGCACCGAAACTCTCGGTAAGCCGTTACCTTCGTGGATTTCGAGTCATGCCCGACCCGAAACTGAATATCATTAAGCGATTTCCCGGGAACTTACAAGCATTCTGCGTCTGCCTGTCCCGCAACGATCTGCGGCGGGAGACACCTACAGTGAACGGAAGCAAGATTTTCGGTTGACTGTGAAATTCTGTAGTGACATGCTCTCCAGCGGAGATACGCTCTCCCTGGCCTTCGCGGACTTTCCGAACTTCGGTTTCTCATGGAGTCAGCTTCAGAGTGTGGGAGCCGACGGCGCCCTGGCTCGGACAGCGATATGCTGAGGCTCCGCCCCCGCTCGTGTTACCGGGAAGTTCGCGTAAAAAATCTTTCCGGGTAGTGATGAAATTTAGGAATGCATCTCCACAATCTGCGTGGACTTAGACCGCGAGCGAAGAAAGAGGATTATCGGGGACAGTTTGACGCGTGAGAGGGATCCTCTGGGTATCTCTTGTGGACGCCGGATCCTGCTCGGTTCATTCCGCTGTACTGAAATTTCCCATCTCTGCATGCCCCCTTCTGTTATTTTCACGGAAGAAGCAATTCAATCAACGACTTTTTCGGTGGACGTTCTTTCGATACTTTTGGGCTAAAAGTCTCCCGTCGACATCATGTGTGAGATGGCTTTTCTATTTGTTCGCCTCCTTGCCGGTCGATTTCATCCCTCCGATGCTCCGGCGCGTCGCTTCCTCCCAGACCACGAGCACCGCCCAGCACCAAAAAGGAATCGTTGTTTATCTAATTTCGTGTGTTTTCAATCCAATCGGTCGGTTTTAGCTTTCAGAAGTTAAAACCAATTTCCCCGCTCTTTTCATGGCTGCGTTGACGACGATCGTACACGGACGCGTGTCGATCGACGCTCCCGTCCCAGCTTCCATCGGATCCCATCCCATTGGCGGACTTCGATGAATTCATTCTCAGGTCCGGTTCTCTCTCTTTGAGTCAACGCTTCGCTTCCCTACCGTTTGGAAACTTCAAAAGATTATTCCTCCTCCATGTTTTCCCATACCCCTCCCCCTCGGAAATTTTCCCCTACAATTCCTCGCTTCGATTTGCGATCATATTCCTCTCCGCGCCCAACGATCAGAGAAAAAATCCGTAGAAATCGATAGAGCTCCAGAAGAGACCGAACGTCGCGGATCAATAGGGAATCACTCCAAAGGTGATCGAACGGGGGAAAAACATATTCGACGAATAAACGTTCTCCGTCTCGTATCAGAAACTTTGATTTTTGGCATTCTGGAGTGAAGACGAATAGCGCATCCGTCCGTTTGTATGCCGGATTGACTGACGGATGCACGAACGGACGGGCTGAAGTGTGCCTGGCGCTACTCGGCCAGACGTTCGGCTTATCTTGTCAATTCCTGCCGATAATGGGCTATTCGATAAGCTTGGTGCAGAAACCGTCGCCGCTGTGGATCATCCGTTCGTTTAACTGACCGAAAGCTCGACTGGCTTGCTGACTGACTGACTGACTGCCGTCCGCTCGGTTCGTCAGCCGGTGTATCAGTGAGTCAGTCTGTGAGTCCGGCTCATCGGCCTGCAAACCGCCAGACCGGCCGAGCGAACCTTCGTTCGTCTGTCGTTCCGTCATTTTCTCTGTCCTTACGTCAGTTTAGCTCTAAATAACCGGAACGTTGCTCTCGCGAACTGATTGACTCACTCGAGCACCGACTGAGTGAAGGCAGCTCGACTAAATGGCTGATACGTTGGCCGGCTTACTTATGGCTAACTAGCACTCGAATCGATGGACGTTAGGGAGGGGATTGCCGGATTCGGCGGCATGAGTCGCTCCTATCATCAGACGCCGACAGAGATAATGATATTCCGCCTTCCGTCGAGTTTTAGTACATACCTAGAAAAAAAAAGCTGACGACACGTCGTCAGATAGAAGAGCCGTCGTCGAGTGACCGCTGTCCAGTCCTTTCAGGTGACGACAAGACATATAAACGACAGAACGAGCGAAATCGTGCCCGATAGAGAATTTCTGTTGGAAAATTAGCTATCAGTGATTGCTCCAGCCCGTACACGGACCGAAATCCTTTACGGGATTCCCAGACGAATCATGTTCCCAACATTCTCTAATTTCCCAAAGGCCGGGAAAATCGTAGATGACTCCAGAAACTTCGAAAGGAATTCCACAGTTGTGATCCCTGAGAGAAGCACGCCCGGTGATCCAGAACGCACTAGTTGCCAGTCTGGCTCCGAGATCCCTGTAGGGCGTTACGGATTTTTCTGAAGTCCCAGAAGAGAATTTCCGCCGATCGAAGCGAGACCGCGCATCGAGAGGCTCTCCGACGACGTCGGATTCTCTCGTATAGCTCCGCGCAACTCTCGGCTATCATCACAAACATTTCTAAGTGATCCATTCGCAGCAAGCTCATGTTAGTCGAGCATCTTGCTAAGCCTCGTTAATGAACAATTGATTGAGTTGGGCAACAACGCACCGAGATCCGTCTTGGGAAGAGGCAGCCGCTGCTGCGGCGGCCATGGCTGCGGTGACGGCTGCTGACGCCGCGGACCTCCTCAGAGCTTTTCTCGTTGGGTAGTCAGTAGAATCTTTTGAGAGGTCGTGGATCGGGCTGAAAACGAGCAGAGAATAAGGGATTAAGCAAAAGATCGACACCAGCGGGTGACCGTTCACAAAGCTACGTATTCACCATGACACACTTTGCGCTGACGGATATGAAGCGCTGACCTATTCGATTTCTAAGTAAGAAGATTCCTATCCGAAAAGGAGCAACTCAAAGTCTGTTGAATTGAGCCGCGGCAGTGAAGGTGGGTCCGAATACGTTGCCATCATGAAACGAGCTTTCTATTTGAGTGGCGGTTGCGTCTCCGTTGATGTCTTTCGTCAATCAAACCATCTGAATCCCATCAAGCAACACCCATGTTCCTTCCCATCGATTCCGACCTCAATTATCTTTCTCGGCTTTCCGCAGTCTGGCCGTGCATCCGTCTTCATTTCAGTTTGATCAACCGCCCGGTTTGACTCCGTCCGTTTGTCACCTCTTTATTAGTTGACATGGATTCCCCGCTCGCGTTCACGTGCCCGCCATGAATTCATCTCTTCTTTATCACATTATCACTGAATAAATTGAAGTCGGGTTAGTGCTGGTCATCAATAGTGAGCCAGCTGATCAGATAGTCAGCTGATGATCTTCACAAGTCCATGTGTGTCTGCAGCGCGCGCGAATCTGTTATCGATTTTTGGCTGAAATGAGGGAGATGGTCCCCACGTAGACGGGCTCTCTATCATGACCTGCAGACTCGCGCTTATAATTATTATCGAACTCTCCGTGAAGATTGATGAACCTAACAGCACGAGCCGCACTCTCAGCCGCAGTTTTCGTTTCTCTGCATTTTTTTGCTCCTGTTTTTCCCTCAGAGTCGCTCTCACTTGTAGATCTGCGTACAAACACCAGGGGGACGCTAGGGACCCTGGTTAGTTGACGGCCCGGAGCGCGATTCTCCATTTTATTTTCCCGCTGTTTTTGGCATATTTTCGATTCTGTTTTTATCCCCGCGACGCTCTTGCCGCTCATCGATGGTCTTTCGCTCACTCGCTCGCCTGCTCGGCATCTACCCATGCAACTTCGTAATCAGACGACGCGACGACTGATGTGTCATTAATTTCGACTTATTATCATCATCTATCGATGCTAAAGGTTTCGTACAGCAAGTGCTCGATGACTTCGTCGGTGCCGCGCCGCACTCCGCCTGTACCGTCTTTGCGTCTCCCAACGCGTAATGCTCGACATCGTCCTCATGAGCACAGACGATCCAGACAGGGGCTTCTCCCAAGCGGAGCTATGCTTGTTTGGCGATTCGCGGGATTCGATTCCATCGTTATGTGCTCTCGAGCACTTCGCCTTTCTCGGAGTTCCCTCCCGAATCGAATGAGATGAAATTCTGGGCCTCGCCTCGGAGTATGGTGAAGAAACATACGACGAGAACCAGCGAGGAGACTAGAAGCGGGTTAGGCAAGCGATTCGAGCGACAGCGAAACGAGCCAAAAGGCCAGGGGGCTTCCAGAAAACAGCGTTCCCTTCAATTAATCAGAAATTACGGAATTACCAAGACGCACACGTACATCCGTCCGTCCGTTCGGGCGGATCGGGTGGAATCATTACAGAACGTTGGCCGTGTTATGTCACCAGTACGAGTAGTGGCGGCACCATGACCACAGGAGCGACTGTAGCCTACGGGCACATCGTTCCAACCTTGAAGTAAGGGCTCGTTCCGACGACTTCCGATTTGACGCAACGAGACGAACGGGGGACAGACAGAAGATGTCCGCTCCTTGGCGTTTTCCGCCGGACCAGCTCTCCTCGTGACCGCAGCTGTTAATTGACGCGCCTTGCCTCATCAATTTTCTGGTGTCTCCTAGTTCACGCTTTCAATCAGTCGATGAAGCAGTCAGCTAGTCGGTACCGGCCGGAATCGCATCCTTAACCCGTTGTCCGACGTACCGCCGTATATGTACGTACGTGTGTCCACAGCGCCCGCGCTGTCGACGGACTCTGGGAGGGTACCGGCGATTTCACTGAAGACGCCGGAGAGTTTTACGACAGTGATGATTCTGATAATGGTCATGATGCACCGACATACGATCTTCTACAATATCGTCGCGTACGGAAAGAAAAATGCCCACGTAATCTTCTACGTCGGCTCTAATGAGAACCGCATCGTCACCGAAGGGTGGGCTTCGTGCGTCGCATTAGAAATAAAGTACTTTGACATCGAAGCTTGTTGACGATAAAAAGTATCATCAAGACTGTCCGCGCTGATAAAATGACATCCTTGCCTCGTTTCGTACGCGTACTTCTAGGTACAAGAATACGAACTCTCCGATGTTTGAAACATTTCTGCCGAACATCGCGTCTACGCCTCTCGGTCTGACAGAGCTACATAGGTAGCTTGAAAGCTTCCCGAGATAACGAGCCACGCTGCCAAGGGGAGGTAAGAGTTGAAGAGTTTTTATTCGTATGTAATGGAAAATGAGCCCATCCAAACCCGTCGACAAGATACGGGGAAAAATCTGTCGCCCGACATTCCTCATGTCCAATTCCGTGATAACTCAAGAAATTGTCGTGCGAGGTCTCCTTATCGCTTATTGACTATTATTGTAATCACTACGTTAGAACCGAGAGGAATTCGGGCTCCATCATGACTTCTGAACTAGTGATTACTACGGTGACGGAATCCGAAGACTGTGGTTACCAGTGAGCGTACATATCCCCGCAATAGTATCGACCTTCGTGCGCTTCGGCGGATGCGACCACCGAAGCTCGGAATTTTTCAGTCTCACGGTGGAACGTATATCATTTACGATGCCGAGGGTCTGATTGTGAGCATTGGTTCGAGCGGCAATGAATCAGGTTCTCAAGCGGCGACTGTTGGAGCGGCATCTCCCGGTTTGTTTGAGTGAAGAGTTTTCTGAACGTTCGCCAATCTGACGAGCACTCCGAATTGCAATGACGTCGCCGGCGGCTTCGCTCGAGGCCCATCGTGAGCCGTACCGACCACGATAGCGCCTTTTGCCAAGTCCGTCGGGGGAATGGCACCGTACCGGTGGCGTGCCTCGCGGGGGGACAAAAGGACCATAGCCCCTCGCCGTGAGAAAGGAAATTTCGATCCAACGCTGAGGTGTATGCCTCCGGGGGGCTCTGCCTGAAGAAACGACGTCGAGGCAAGACCTTTCCGTACTCCGTTTAATGAGAGTGGAAACACTGACTGAGATTCGGGAATTTGAGCTCGATCACCGGTGAAGCTGATGAGCGCGATCGGTGAGATTGGAGCGAAGCTCGTTGCTGATTGGCCCCCTCTTTGATCTGGTTACGTCGATGCTCAGATAGCGTTTCAGCTGCTAGAATCCAGCTAATAAAAAAGCTGGATGATCGAGCCTCGCATCCGTAACCGCAAGCAACGCTCCGAATAAATAATGCTCGGTCGGAAACAAATTCAAAGCGGAATAAAACGGGCCCAGAGCCGGACTCCTCGGATCTGTCAGGGTCGTTTCTGTAGATGATACTTCGCCGATGATCGAGCAGCGATCGTTGGAACAATCTGACGTATTACTGGAAATTAGTCGTTTTGAGAGATGTATAGGGCGGCCGAGTCTTCGTTGCTCGTCCATCCGAACGTCTGTCCTATTCGGAGAATCGTCTCTGTGTCAAGTTGTCTTCGTAGGGAACGGCTGGTTTATTGGAAATCATCATCGTTGTTATTGATAAATTGTTTCTTTCTGCTCGTTGAGCGCCGTTGCGTGAGCCGTATATTTTTTCCTCTGATCATCTATGCGATGTTCTTTTCGTTAGGCCTCTCCAAGTTCGGTCGACCGGTCTCCCGTTCGGACCACTTCGACGCAGTCACTGAAGCAGAAGTCAGTCACTCAGTCAGCCAGTTAGGTATTCAATCGGTTGGCGAGCGCATCTTGACTGGCTTTCGCTCGGTGAGCTGACCAGCAGCGAAAAAGAAGGTGTGACGTTTGATCTTGAGGGATTGCAATCAACGGCCACCGAGCCGACTAAAAGAGACCAACGAGGCCGAGGCGAACTCAGACCGCGATTGAGTAGAAAAAATGGACGCCGATGCCAGCAGAGGGTCTTGAATGCGGCAGAGAGTCTCGAATGCGTCGGATGGAGCAGAAGTCGAATACGATGAGGAGCTTTTTCCTTCGGAGCCAAATTTCAAAATGGACCGTAGAACGTAGCGCAGAAGTTCAGCGAAAACTTCCTATATTGTTCTCCAATTCATAGAATCGTCTGTTCCGTCGATGAATATTCTCGGTGTGAATTCCAGCGACAGGAGAGGCGCGATCCCGAAGTGGCGATACCGAGGGCCGCAGAGTAAACTTCTGGCTCGTGCCTTCGACGCGCGAGTATCGCAAGCCGATCGTGACTCTCTCATTTAACCGACAGGCGCAAAAGGCGCTTTTGCATCAGCCGCCAGAGTGAAGACAGAAGCACTTGGAACAACAGGATCTATAGACGTATCTTCAGAGCTGGGATCGTCCTCGTGGCTTATTAAACGGACACCTGAATGAGTTTTTCTCGTGGTTTTCCTGCAATCTCTCGCCGGCAACTTCTCCTCCGCCGGGATGCCGCTCGCTCATTCATTGCCGAGGGTTAATTGGCGGAAAATGAGAATACCGCCGCTCACATTCTCCTGGAAGATGATGAATGTGATTCGTCCCTTCAGTCTGTCGGGCTCGTTTTCACGTAGTACGCCTCACGCACACCAGCGCTGAGCGACAGAGAGGAGACAGACGAGGTGAGAAGTCTTTTCGATTTCTCCTTCGGTGCAGAAGCTGCGGAGGTTTCGAGATGGGAGCCTCATCAAGAGCAAAACTTCCCATCGATATTCACATTGTTCACAGAAGATACATCTCAGAAGTGCTGGTCCCGCGGATTCGAAATACAATCATCGGTGGAGCGTTGGGACAGTCGAAAGCAAAGAGCTCATAGGAATGAATTCTTCATCCGGGCCTCCGTTGGTCTTGTCAAACATCCGGCATCGGCAATCAGATGACACATGGCAATTCATCTCCTCGAAGATCTCCGTGTGTCTGCGATCGCTC